GTCACTTCCGGTGCCGTGCCGTTGTATCCACTGTATCCTTTTTGCGTAGTGTTTGTATACAGGTTCCTCGGGAATTAAAATTCATATTGACTTGATAAAATAAAAATAAATCAGTGGTGCTACAACCTCTTTAGGTCTGGGCCTCAGATTTCTGATGTATTTTTATTAGATATAGGTAAACAAATATATGGTTTTATATTTCTAAATGTATATAACCTTATTTGGATTTCATTTATAGCATAGTTCACTTTCTTCTATAATTGATTACATGTGTACCCAGTATAGCTATTACATATACAACATATTCACACGCACACATTTTCTTTGTGATAGTTTGATATAGTCTTTACAAGTAATATAACACTGTATAGATTACAATAATGTTTAAGTGCTGAGAACAAAAACTGTGTTAACATAAATAAAAGGTTATTTGAATTAAGAGCATCAAAATATAAACACATATCGAAAAAAAATCTGGAAAATTATTAAGTTTTTTATTGTCAGCGATATATTTTCCAATGCGGAAGTTATTATCACAAAAAAATATCATAAAAGCCTTTATTTAAATGCAGGTTAGAGATTAGTTATATCAAAATCGTGTGTTTGGTGTTATAACGGTGTCATATCCTGCCGAGCAGTGTTAGCCTAGTAGCTTCAGCGTGCGACTCTCATCTTTAAGATCGTAGGTTCGATACCCGGCTGTGCAGCAGTGGGCATTCTTTCTATGTGCGTGCACATTTAACAATCGAACGAACGGTGAAGGACAACATCGTGAGGTAAACGGCTTGCACACTTGCTGTCGGGGGCACAGGAGGCTGATCACATACTTGCCTATTAGATTGACAAATGATCATGAAACAGATACAGAATGAAGTCTGAGGCCCAGACGTAAAAAGTGTGTAGCGCCACTGATTTATTTATTTATTTTATTTATCATATCCTGCCAGATTTCCTCGCAAAACACTTAGCCTGCGCCCGCGCATTCAATGCACGTACCAATGCACTATCGTTGTGACGTGTCGTTCTGCTAAACTGCTTTGGAAAATGAGTTTCCTTTAAATGAAATTTACATAATCGTTGCTTAGATATTTATACGAATCGATGGTCATCCAGTGTTTCCCAACGTGGGGCAAGGGGGCAATTTCATTGTCAATCGAGATCAGCTGGATATCGATAACACAAATTGGAACCCAATGTATAATCTCTGTGCAGCTAGCATTAAGCGTAATGATTTAGTAAGATCTCTAATACTTATCTCTATAGTAATTTAGTAAAATTAATATAGAAAAATCTTTATTAAAATTATTTGGAATTTGAATTCCAATTTTCGTTATGTTTTGAAAATTTACTTATCATGTCGTTAATAAATCCTAGTGATTTCTACCTAAAACCTATCTATCATTTAAATTTCTTAAATGAACAATTCAACTTTTGAATATATACATTATGTATGTTACATAAGGGCATAAGAATCTTAAGTAGGCTATGGTGGGGCATGGCATAAAAATTGGTGGGAAACACTGGTGTCATCAATGTATATTTCATGAATGAAATGCGCTAGTATATAATAATACCGCGGACCGTCTTAAAGACGCAGCAGCCGTCGAGAAGACTTCCAGCCCTTTTTGCTTCTCAAAGTCTTTACCAAGAGAAGCTTTAGGCCATGGGGCCGTTCAAGTATTACGTAAGCACTATAAGGTTGAGGGGGTCTTTGATTTTGTTATGTCTTCTAATGTCTATGCTTGAAAACGAAATGCATTTTCGAGGATTCCTACAAAATTTTTTGCATTAAGAGCTTTGCATACTTTTGCTGACAAGGTGAGAGGGGGTAAACCCAAGTAATTCAACGGCCCCTATAGAACAATACGGAATGGTGCTGTTCCACACGAATTAATACGGGTGGAACAGCAGAGCAGAGCCAGTATTCCTATACTCCAAATTATTATTCCTACAAAATGCCTACGTAATTGTCCTAAAGATATTCTTGAGTGGGATGAAATGACTGACCCTGGCATAACTTTCTTATTTTGGGCATATTGAACAAGCTAAGAATTCTGATACGAATTGAAACCTTGAATGTTCTAATGTAATGGTTGCAGCTCCTTACAAACATTTTGTAAATCAAAAAAACCTGGCGATTCAAAAGAGTGGCGGAGCTTTTATTGCCAGTTCTTCTCGTCCGTTCTACGCCCTTGATTATTATATTATAAAGTTAGAAGCATTTAATATGTATTTCTATATTGACGTTCATAGTGTACATTGTGTTACCTAAGTGAATAAATTATTTTGAATTGAATCTACTACATAAATAACATTTAAACGAATAGAAAAATCAATAAAATAGAAAATTGTTTTTTTTTATAAATTTCTCCAAACTTTGGAAGAGCAATGTTGGCATCACTTCCATTCCCCATCCATAGCTGAGCGCGTATCTCTCTCTAAGAGACAGCTAAACTGCTGGCATCCTTCTTCTGTCTGTGTGGAATATGTTTTGTTTTCTAACACAATTTACATAAATGTATGGTAAATTATGAATTAATCTCTAAAAATCAACTATCTGATGTTACAAGCTTTCTTCGATAAAAAGTGTATTCAACAAATAAATATTTTTTTGTCTATTCAAACAGATAGTTCGTTTTAAAACAAACTTTTCTTTATAAGATTAGTAAAATTGACAAATTTATGAAGAACGCGTTAAATTAGCCCTTCGTTAGACCTAAATTGAGACCATATGAGAAACTTTGACATTTGACATTAGAGGCACTTGAGAACGTACTTGTCGTAGTTTTATCATAACTGGGTCGTTTTAAAGTATACAGGAATGAGAGTAAGCTGTGTAAGGATCGCTCAAGTGGAAGGCTGTATTAGTGTTATGGAGAACACCATTTATGTCACTAATTAAGTATAGATAAAAAGATGTCTACCTAAAGTGTCGATAAAATGAATAAAAATAAATAATATGTATATGATACAACCTTATATACAGGACAAAAACTATTTTAGACTATTTATAAGTGACTAGAGAACCTACAAATACGTTACATTTATTTCTGTTTTTCAAAAACCTACCTAATCGCACCCCACATCCTCACGTCCATACCCTCACTTTCGCACCATCACATAACACATTAGGTATTACTTAGTTAAATTTAACCAAAAGTCCGTTTGCCTTCTATTACATAAAAAAAACAGGAAAACATCGTGAGGAAACCGGCTTGCCTTAGACCCAAAAATTCGGCGTGTGTCAGGCACAGGAGGCTGATCACCTACTTGCCTATTAGATTGACAAACAAAATTTGTAACGCCACTGATTTATTTATTTATTTCAAATGTATGGTCTAAATTCTCGGATTTCGATTTGAATATATTACCTGTATTGCTTTTAGAATCAACCTATAAGCAAATTAACATACACTCAATCTGTGTGGTTCTTTCCTCAAAAGACCATTTCAGACTACAATCTACATGGTCTTCACATAATCTTGTTATGTCTGGACTTTAAAAGAGACTGTGACCTCTGAGTTTGTTTCGGCGTTTCTTCTCAGAGTAGTGAGATAGGAAACGTCAAACTCATCTAGTTTAAAAAAAAATGCTTGACGTGTAAAAGTGTTTGTTTGTTGTACTTACAGAAAATAAATCATTTATAGTCTTACATATGAATAACGCATAAAATGCAATTAACTTTACGTCAACATTAACATTATATACATAACTATAGTGGGGTTGATATCTTATTCAGATTTCGTCACATTTACAAGGAAAATAATGAAATATTGATAGGGAAGTAGGTTAGGAAAAAAAATGCTGCGTCATTATGTTGGGTAATTGATATAAGGATAATCATGATGAAAAATCTTTTGTTTGGAAATTTATTTATTAATTCAAGTTGGTGTAGTCTGTGTGGAAAGAGAACCGTCCCATAAGGCTCTCTTTAGTCGGTTGCTCACGTCTAAGCGTTGTGGTCAGCAAGGAAACATCTGGAGCTGAGAATGTTTCCACTGGTTTCTGTCCAGCGTATTTCTTATGAGTACAGTTTTGAGGACGATGGGTCTGTCACTTGATGGTTGGTGAACGGCCACGTGATCGTTTACCAACTTCGATCAGTTTCTCCTAGTTCTCTGCGCATTTTACAGCCGAAATTTCATAATACGAAATTTTGAATATAGAATTTCTATAAGGTAATTCGCCCTTCTCACTCTCTCAATCGGTCTCAATCGCTCTCCCTTTTCTAACGAAAAAACTTTTCGCAAAAACGCTGCAAAAATTCTTTAAATCTTTTAAATCTTTTACGGAAACTCTCAGTTTTTATCTGTTGCAATCATGACGTCATAGATGTTATCTGTGGTCGCTATTTTGTGCAGTCTATAGTAGTTTTGTACCTGGGTGATGTTGACATTCATAGCATTTTACGCTTTCCTTGTCTACAACATAGCATATTTTATGACGTCTTACGGCCAAAACCAATAGCAGATCTCAATCCATTTTTGAGACTTTAAAAACTGACAATATAATACATTGGACTCAGTAAGAAAAGCATGCCATATATTTAAAAAATTTACAGAAATTGTGACGCATTCTATTTAGTCAAAAGAACGTTCAGAGTTCGAGAAGAGCAAGATTGCCGCTGTATGGATAACGATGTTTACATCCGGGAATGACCCAAATTATCTTTATTCGTCTTTTTTGAAAGTTGCTTCGAATCGTGCAGTACAATTCAATCTCTGATGGCTATCGTTGCCACTCTTAATGGAATCAGTAGGTGTCGGATTGCGACCTTACTCAAGTATTAACAGGACAAATTTCTTCGTCTATCGTCGTCTTCCAGTTCAGTGACGGACGTTGTTTTGTTAATTTAAATATAAAAACAGATTGACATCGTAACTTTTTAAAACTGGAACGTTGAAAATATTCTGAACAAATTTTTAAAAGACTGGAACTTCGTGATGCTGAACCAGCTAGTGATCTTGATCAAAGTCGTTTAAAAATCGAATGTGATAAAAATGGTGATAGAATCGTTGCCCAGCGAGTGATTCTGGCCGCTGTTACCGCGTCTATAACAACAAGCATTTTTGAGATACATCAAAAAGAGTTCGAACCTGAAAACCTCCTTTGTCCCCGATCGAAATTCAAAAATACCGTACATCCATGCTCCACGCACTGACTTTATTTACGAGGTTTATTTAACAAGAGATTGGAGCATTTTAATTTGGACCATAAATCGGAATTAAGCAGCGAAGTGAAGTTGCGGTGTCAAAATGGCATTGATCTCTAAGACCCAACAGTCTTCAGCTGCTATTGTGCCAATCCAGTTCCGGACATTACAGCAGTAACACATGGAGATACACTAGAGTCAGGTCTAAAAGGTATTTTAAACATTTTTATATTAACACTCAAATCGAAAGTTTTATTTGAACATTCGTGATGAAGGTCGTTTTGTTTGCGTGGATTAACACGGCTGTAATTTTTCTTTTGTATTTAATTTAAACCTATTAAAAATGAAAAGCAATAAGGGAATATTAAATTTGAAAGGATTATTTTTTTAACTACAGTTTTAAAAATAATTTTGTAAATATATGGACGTAATATGTCCATACTGTGTTGACAAAGTTTTAATGACGGGATTTGTGAAATAACCAGTCTATATCTGTGTCTTCCATTAAAACAGATTATCAACCTAATAAGCAGTTTTGACAGTCGACATTCTTTAATCAAGGTTTCGCCCACGTTTCCCGCGCCCACATTGGATGTAGTGTGAAAAGTTTAAAGCTCTGTGAACACGATGGTTTTAATGAAATATACGGCCGTATTACAAACTTTTTTTTAAATGGTAACACAGCAGTGTTGCCCTAGTGGCTTCAGCGAGCGAATCTCATTCCTGAGGTTGTAGGTTCGATCCCCGGCTGTGCACCAATGGACTTTCTATGCGCATTTAACATTCGCTGGAACGGTGCGGGAAAACATAATAATAATAATAATAAAGTCATTTAATCATTTAGGTACAATTTGTACTCTTATGCATGTCAACTCGGTTATCCTCATCTTACAGCGGCACTAGTGCCTACACATTGTCATTTCGTCTATAAATTCCCCGAACAGTGTAATATCCTCCCTTTGTTAGGGTTTTCTTGATACAAAGCTTAAACTCATGAATCGGAAGTTTGGTTACACGGTCCGGAATCTTGTTAAATATGTGTATACATTTCCCCATAAATGAGTGAGCAGTTTTATGCAGTCTGAAAGCTGGAAAATCAAATCTATTCCTACTTCTTGTATTTCAAATTGGTTACAGTCACTGCGCTTTAGATACATTTATTAAGGTTTTGGTATAAACCGTACATAATATTTTCATACACATATTGGGAGGAAACTGTTAAAATACCAATCTCTTTAAATAATTCTCTTAGCGAGTCACGCGGTTTTAAAATTTATATATAGCGCGTATTGCTCTTTTTGTAAAACAAAAATATCTTGAATATCGGCCAGCTGAGCCCCTAGTGCCCCATTTGAGCCCGTAGTGACCAAACCTGCCTTTAGACCTTTTCAAAAAAGCTCGAATCATGAGCCAGGCACAGGATGATCACCTACTTGCCAAATGTCATTAATAGAAACAGAAATCTGATGGTACGAGGGGAGGTCACAAAAATTCGTGACATGGAGGGGTTGGAGTGGGGATGAGGGCGCTGTTTTGTGTCATAATAATTGGGACTCATAACTTGTATATAAATGGAGTTTCAGACTATTTGGTCAATTCGTTTACGAACACTCGCCCTGCTAAACACGTCAGTCCTGGGACAGAGAACTGAAACTATGTGTTTAGAAAATTGAACACGTGATAAAAATGGTCATTAAATTCCTTACCCAGCAAGGAAAGAACGCTGTCAGACGCATTTTGGCGAATGAAAGGAAACTGTTTACTCAAACAGTGTCTTCGTAAATCTATGATTTAAAATCCTGGTCTTTTTAAACATGATTGGGATTCGAAAGACGACCCCGCTCGAGGTCACGCCAGTGAGGCCACCACATCGAGGCTCGTCCGAAAAAGTTGGAAAAATTGTACTGGAAGACAACCGTTGAAGAAAAACAGTTATCTGCATTAGTTGGAGTATCAGGTACCACAATTTGGCCCCAATCCTAACATGACTTCACCTGGTATGACAAAAGTCAGTTCAAGACATGGGTACCGAGAATGCATCACGCCGTTCAAAAACAGCAGGGCGTCGAAAGGTCATAAACATTTTTGGAGTTGTGTAAGGCGATCCTGGATCGATTTTTAGCGAGTTGAACAGTTACCGGCGATGAAACATGGGTTTGTCACTTCGAGGCTTAGTCCAAAACACGAGTACATGTCCATTGGTAAAAGGGACACACCGCCAAAGAAATTCAAAGTGTCGGAGTCGGCTGGAAAGTTGATAGGATTATTTTTTTTGGGATTGTAGAGGGGAGGGGATAATACTGATTGATTATAAAGAAAAGGGCAGGACCATAACCGGAGAATACTACGCAACAATACTTGAAAAATTAAAGGATGCCATCAAAGAAAAACGTCGAAATTGACCAGGGTGTGTTCCTCTTGCAAAACAACGCGCCGGTATCAACCTAAAAGCAAAGTTGACAATCGACATGCTCTACACACGATGGCTTTCGCATCACTAGTCCACCCACCCTGATAGTAGATCTGGCCCCAAGTTAATTTTATTTGTTCACCATTTTTAAAAATATGACTTAAAGGAAGAAATTTTTCGACGACAATGAGGTTAAGGAGGCAATTTTGGCTCATTTTGAGGGAACCGCTGACCAATATTTTTACGATGGTTTAGGAAAATTAATTCGATAGATGCTGGTAAATGTATTCAGCTTAAGGGTGACTTATATTGAAAAGTGAAAAATAAATTTACTGTTTCATTTTCTACTTAAACCCTATTCATTCCACGAACTTTTGAACCTCCCATGGTAATAAAAGGTTTTAGCGCCACTAATTTTTTGTAACCATGGTATACGGTCTAAGTCAACGTTTTATAAGAATAGCTTGTTGTGTCTGTAATTATAATATTTTAACACATTTTTATTGATATATTAATTATTATTGCTTAAATTATGAATATGTCAATTACAATAGAAGTAAGCTTTTATTATATTTACTTGAATAGTCAATAGTAAAATAGTATTTTATTTATTTAATAGACAAAAATCTAAACTAACTGACTTTATTTTTGTTAGAACTTAAATTTTATTCTTCTCCGTCATGGATAAACAGCCTTAGAGGCAAACATGTTGTTGATTACGATATAAAAGCTTTAAGTTTTGTCGCGTTAAAGATAATTTCATACGCTAATTAATGGCCGTGTTATTTCATAATTGGTTTGCATATTTTGTTGATAACTTTTAATTTATGATTGATAGAGTTATACTAGCTGACCCGACAAACGTTTGTTTTGCCATGTAGTTATTTCTAGGAAATATCTTTTTACTTTAATAAAAATAACTATCTACAATAATATAAAATAGGGTTTGATTGTAGAGGAGAGAAAATTAAAATTAAAAATTAGGGGTTGTATGTATTTTTGTATGCTGTATCATAAAAAAAAATAAAAAACAAAAAAATTCTTAAAATAAAAATTTGGGTGGACACCCCTTATCACTTAGGGGTTTGGAAGATAGTAGAATAAAGTAGATAGTAGCCGAAAGAATCGGTCGAGCCGTTTCGGAGGAGTATGGGAACAAACATTGTGACACGAGAATTTTATATATATTTAGATTTATACATATCCATGGTATTTATAGGTTTTAGGAGTGTTGTTTTAACCATTCGAACCTAAGTTCATTGCTGTACTGGTACTTAAATAACTGGTACGTAAATCCAATAAGTTTTTGGCATATGTAAGTCTTACTTAGAGCTAAAATCTAAACAACGCATTTTTTTGACCTTAATAAATGGCGTGTCCGGCAAGCCGATCTAAATTAAACCTAAATAAAAAAAATATTAAAGGAACTTAGAAATCTCAAAAGTTCGTAAATGAAATATATAATAATAAATCAGTGGCGCTACAACCCCTTTAGGTCTGGGCCTCAGATTTCTGTATCCGTTTCATGATTATTTGTCAATCTAAAAGGCAAGTCTATTTTTTTTAGTTTTCTTTCACCATTCCAGCCAATATTAAATGCGCACATAGAAAGAAAGTCCATTGGTGCAAAGCCGGGGATCGAACCTACGAACTCAGGGATGAGAGTCACACTCTGAAGCCACTAGGCCAATACTGCTATAGTAGTTCGTAAGCTTCATAATATTTTTCATTCAAATGGTACAAAATTAACAATTCCAGTCTCAGTAACACAACGGACGCGAAGCGTTAAAAATGCTATCGATTTTCAGTCAGATCACAAAATTTATATGCGAAACGGTTAAAAGCAATGAAGGCGGCCAGTTGCATTATACAGAGACAGTGTTACCAACATAAAGAAAAATATCAATACGTTAAATGTTTAAATAGAATACGGTTTTATAATAACAATTCATTGAATTTACATAAGAATATTCTTTTTATGTAACAGTGTGCCGGCTGTGCACCAATGGACTTTCTTTCTATGTGCGCATTTAACATTAATTGCTCGAACGGTGAAGGAAAACATCGTGAAGAAACCGACATGTCTTAGACCAAAAAAGTCGACGGCGTGTGTCAGGCACTGGAGGCTGATAACCTACTTGCCTATTAGATTGAAAAATGATCATGAAACAGATTCAGAAATCTGAGGCCTAGACCTAAAAGAGGTTGTAGCGCCACTGATTTTATTTTTTTTTAAATTAAAAAGTTCATGACTCAAGATTTTAGCCACATTATATGAACAATAAACATATGCTATCTTTATTTGTATGCATGTGTATTGACATTGTATAACAATTGGCATATTTGCAACTATACGTATAAGTATTTTAAATAATTTTATTGAATTCGTTTATAACAATTATATAAAAACATATTTTTTTAAATACCATTTATCGTAAGTTAACTATTGATTATATTTAAATTGCACATATAATTTGTCAAGGACTTGTATGTTACAATATAAGTACGAGAAAGTATTTTCCCTCCAAATTCTCACAATCACCATGTTGGCAAGCGTGCAACAAATCGATGCGTGGGTGGGTTAGTGACACCCCATTCGCCCCTCACGTGCAGTCTGTGGTAATTAAAGCGTTGTCTATGGTCAGTGTTCAGGGCTGCCTTAAAGTTGTGTAATTCTAAAGATTTTCATAACAAGTTATGTTGTAACCTGTTCAGTGATAACGGAACATGGTGTTTCTACGGAGATACGACCACCTCCAGGTTCTCCTGAAGGTTGAGTTGATTTCAAGCATAGTATTTTTTTAAATTGGCACTGACCTCTGAGGTCGTAGGTTCGATCTCCGTCTGTGCACCAATGGGCTTTATTTCTATGGGCTCATTTAACATTCGCTCTAATGGTCAAGGGAAACTTCGTGAGGAAACCGGCCTTAGACCCAAAAAGTCGACGGCGTGTATCTTTCACTGGAGGCCGATCATCTATTAAATTGATCATTTAACAGATATAAAATTCTGATGCCCTGGTTGTAACGCCACTGATTTATTTATGTAATTTTTTATTTGCAAAATTGTGTAAACAACGAGTGGGCAACATTAAAACTAATAATAAAATGGATTAAAGATATGTTTCAACATTAAATTTGTTTTACTAATCATAAAAATTTACGTTAACCCAAGACAGAATAAATTTAAAATTGCCTTTATTAAATATTTTATAACTAGTGGTAACCCTTGCTGTACAATGTTTTCAAAATGGCGTTAGACTACCTTTTGCTGACTATCGGACTGTGAACTATGTGTTTTGAAAGGAAAACGTTGCGTTGTTGCGCAAAGAAAATGTATATTACAGACATTTAATTCATACATTCCCGTCCTTCCCCAAGGGGTGGGTAGAGACCACTGATCTCTACTTACGGTTGGCATTCAAATTAAATCAAAATCATTCATTCATTTAGGTAACACAATGTACTTATGAACGTCAAAATGAAATTCATATTAAATGCTTCTAATTTTACATTTACAGTTCCCAAATCAAGAGAAGAACTGACAATAAACTCTCTGTCTCTCTTTTTAATTGCCAAGTTTTTTTTACACAATGTTTGTAAGGTGCTGCAACCATTACACCATGTTCCACATGACATCTTATGACGTCTCATATCTCTAACGTTTCGTCCCTTTTCTAGTATGTCCTGAATTTGGTCCAGGATTGTACGACTCGACCTTATCATCCACGGTGGCCTTGTATTACAGACATTTAAATATGTATTAATGCCTCCAACTCCCACTGGAGCATGCCAAACATAGATTTGCATATTAAATGGCAATCAGTCGTCTGTGTGTGCAATAACAACACTCTATTTGATTAAATTTTTTTAAACACCTTAACAAAAATGCGCTTTTCATGGTTATATATCTCCCTGCTTAATACAGGTTTATTCGTTATATGCTTTTTGATAGCATAATAAAAGGAGCGAGCAGTGTTGGTCTAGTGGCTTCAGTGTGCGACTCTTATCCCAGCGGTTGTAGGTTCGTTCCCGGCTGTGCGCCAATGGACTTTCTTTCTATGTGCGCATTTAACATTCTCGAATGGTGAAGGTAAACTAAAAAAAATAGACTTGCCTTTTTTTCTCACGATGTTTACCACGATGCTTTGGACTCAAAAAGTCGACGGCGTGTGTCAGGCACTAGAGGTTGATCATCTAATTGTCTTGATTGACAAATGATCATGATAGAGATCTGAGGCCCAGGCCTAAAAAGGATTGTTTCGATTTATTTATTTATTAATAAAAAGAGCAAAATATTAAATGTTAATGGCGATATTTGGTAGCAATCTTCAAAGCGCCTGAATATTCATATACTTTTGAAGGTTATATAAAGATCAAACGGGCAATGTTGCAAGTTTAGGTCTAGTCTTTAAGAAATTTTATAGTTAAACCACATATAATTTTCGGAAATAATACAAATTAATGTAAATGTATCGAGAGTGGAATTTAATAGGCAACACGAGATTTAAGATGTGGAACCAAACTTACGAGAAAATTTGTGTAGACTAAACAATTTATTGTTTTGGTCAACACTGTTTTTGGTACAACCATTCAACCTTGGTGGACACCAGTCACCTGCTTTCATAAAAGACAGTCTTACAACAGTTCCCCATAATGGGTACTTCAATACACAATTTCTTACGAAAATCCGTTACAATACGAACAAAACACAGCTTGTTATGTTGAGAATTATTGTGTTCGGCCCAATTGATTTTCAACAATATATTTGAACTCGGAAAATGAGGGTTTTTCTTCGAATTGTATAGAACCTGAATGAAATCTTTTCTTTGTGTTTTCTTTAACGAAATTGTATTTGTTAAATATGTATGAAAAGGTTCGTATTTTTCCTGCACGATTGTGATATTTTTAGTTGTATCGATTTGTTTTATATGTTGTTTTAAGACATTTATATATGTTTCTATATCTTTAGTGCTTCTTAAGTATCAACAATTATAGTATTTAATTTAAAACCTTATTAAAGGGAGACGTTTCCAGATCTACTGTAATTTCGAAGTGTTTTTCGATCCTGTTCTAAAAAAATTATCATCTTTATTTCTTTGCTAAAGGACACGTTTGGTTAGGGTTCACTAGGGATTAGTTTAGATTTAAATTGTATTTTAATAGTAATGAAGATTTCAAACTATTATTATTTTATTACTATATACATAGTAACGATATAAAATATATAAGGGGTGCCAAAAAGTCGTGGAGCTTACTAATTTAATACATGTAAGTTATAATTTATTTTGCTTTTTGTGAAACCATTATTCTCAAAGGTGGTTTGACAAAACCTTGAATTGCTCAAAAGCCGATATAAGTCATTGATCTAGTCCTTACACAGCACTCACAGGTTGAATTATGTTTTTTTTTTGACAGATATTCTATACTATATTGTGATGCGCCAATTGTAACAGTCTTTCGTAAAGTAAATAACAGCTGGGCCCAAAAAATTATTTAAAAAGTATAACTTAATATTGTCTGCAATCAATTAACACTATAAATATATGCACGCAAAACTATTCGTACCAATCTAAGGATAAAAAAGATACAGGGTGTAGATTTTTTCGAAAAAAAAAAAAAAGCCCCTATAAAAGAATAGGTTATAACTCTGCAGGGTTGAGCTAGACCCTAGAATTTTTGCAGTGATACCTACTTCCCATTTGCTGTCCACGTTTGGACACCCTTTATAAAGCTGTATGAAAATATACAAAATAGTTTGTGAAATTCTTAGTTTTAACACCAATTCGAAGTTAGGGATTCTTGCAAATATTTTAATTTACTCATTGGCGTGGAATCAATAATTTTTTTCATATTCTTAATAGGTGATAGATAGCCTATTTCTCTTAATTCCTAAAAATTATCCACTATCAGATTTGTTTAAGGTTTCATTCTCTGCGTAATTTGCCAATGTTTCGAATTTCGGCTATGACACTAATTATGAAATTAGACATATTAAATGTACTTATGTTTTCTGTTTCATATATTTTGTTTATGTAATCTGTTTTGACTTTGTAGGTGTTTTCTTTTATAATATGGATGTATGTTAGCTGTAAGATTACTTATAAATAAATAAAATAGTCGAGTATATAAGACTGACAATCATTATTTCTTTTTTCTGTTTTCAGTCATGAGCCGGAGGGCGGCGGGCGGTGCGACGGCCCGCTAACGCGCGCGATGCAGCCCGCTTCGCCCAAGCGGCATGCGCCCGCACATACACACGGTGAGTCCATTTAAATATCCCATGAGTGTGTAATCCATGTATGTATATCTTAACTAGCTGTAAAGTCATCTTAAATATTTTTATTCTTTTTTAAAGAATATTATTTTTTTCCATTTTCATAGTATTTCATAATAATTGTAGAGATTCAAGTTATGTATGTATACTCAATATTTTATCTCACAAAACCTCTTCCTTCCATTAACCGAAAACTGTAAGATTTTTTATACACTCACTGATTTTTGGCATCGTCAATCAAGTAGAATAGAAGAGGAATCAAATAGAAGTATTTCAGAATAGTAATTCGACTTAGGATCCTTCAAAAGCCATTTCTTAAAAGGCCGGCAACGCACTATGAGTGACCACAACAGAATTACAGACTCCTGTCGGTTATATAAAAAATACATTAAATAAATTCAAAACAGGATAATGAAAGATTGCGTCCTTCATACGTTTCCGTATTTTTGAATGGGTGATAACGAGGTGGGGTTAATAAGTGTGATCTTTATATTTTATTTACTTTAATCTGTTTAAAGGCCAATGTGTCTTATTGATTTTGATTGTCACCGAATAGATAAACAGGATGAAAAGGCCGATTGCTGATATGAATAATTACAATTTTATTTCGCCTTAAGCTTCAATTGTCATTGATAAGAGACTGTTCTCTAAGGCCTAGATCATAGCAATTCCCTAGGTTGGAATATGTACCGCTTTAGTATTAAAAATATACAGAGCGCTAAATAACCTGCATCATGAGCACACACATGCACACACTCTCACGCACGTTCCCTGACTTACACCATCACACAACACAGCCGACTTAGATATTACTCAATAAATTTTATTGATTTTTTTCCTTGCGAAAATGTTTGTAGCTTGTTATTATGTATTCCATCTTTGGCTGTGTTTAGTATAAATAATATTGTTTTCATCTACATCAATTTTCGTGGAAAGATTCTGTGAAATAATTTGTTATGACGAGTATTGAGAGAAAAGTCTTATTGGATCTCCCAATTTTTTTGTATGAGAAAATATTTTAAAATTTAATGAGAATTACATGATATATCAGATTTTTTTTTACAAATAAGGCTTATTAAAAATCATTGAAGTAATTCTCTTAAACGGCGCCGCATAATGACGCAGCGATGATTATTTTTTAATTTTTGTTTTATTTAACAGTTTTTCTATAATATTTAAATTAAATTAAATTATCAATATAGACAAAACGGATTACACCATACCAACATTATGAACTAACAAAGACAATGTAATATTTGCCTGTTCGTGTGCAATGTGTGGGAGTTTTGTGTGTGTGTTTAGGTGATATTTTGAAATTGATTTGATTACTTCCTTCGAAAACACGCGTTTGGATATAATATAGAATTTAGCTAGAAGATATTTAAAAATTTTCAACTTCGCTACGCCGCATCTGAGCGTATCTATATATGAGACGTGAATTGCCTTACTGAATATATACAGTATGTCAGTGCTAATACATAACCAGTATGTGTCTGTGACATGAATGTACAGCTTTGATAATTGATAAGCACGACTCTATTGATCGGGTCTCCTTGCGCTGGTAATTTAGGCCTATGTACATACTTGTAAAGCTAAAGGGTTTAGTTTTAACGTTAGAATAAAAGATGAAAATAGCCTTTTCTAGTACAATAATAGGTCTTGTATCGCGTTATCTATGGCAAATCGCGTTGTAGGAGTATTGTCGTAAAATCGTTTTTTTTTACAACTCAACTTCATTTTATATTAACTTAATTGTAATAGGTGCAAAGGGACGCAAACATACTTATGGAGTAGACAAATCATTATTCAAACTACATTATACTTCTAATTTCACACTACAGAAATATAACAAGAGAAATCTCCGCGTTATAGGTTGAAATACCGCGTTATATGTGGGACGGAAATTGCGTTATACGTTAAGGCGTTAAAGGGGTACCGCGGTATTATATTTATTACTAGATGACCTTTGATGGACATGTCATTTATGTTTTAAACATATTATGTTCTTTAATATTGTGGAACATTTTTTTGTTCTATCATCAATAGTTTTCGCAGTGCATGCGATGAAAGCAATTATGCAATTAAAATTTTGCAAAAAAGTCTATATTAATCAGTGTTAATGTATCATTCAAATGGTGAAAGAATTTTTAAAATCGGTTCAGTACTTTTTAAGTCAATTCGTTACAAACAAATGTTACAAATCTTTCCTCTTTATAATATTAGTATTGATAGGTCATGATAATATTGATTCTATATAAACAAGTAGGTGATCAGCATTCTGTGATGCCAAAATATTATATTCTGTGATGCGAAGTATATTCCTACCCTAAACCCACCCAGAGTTTTAGGGTAGGAATATACTTCGCACTAAGCCTGGTCTCTGAATATTCTTTACCGGTTACCTCACGATTGTTAATTTCGGAAAGATTAAAAAAAATAATAAGCCAGTGGTGCTAAAACCTTTTTAGACCTCAGATTTCTCTATCTGTTTCTAATAGGCAAGCCTGTTTCCTCACCGTACGAGCGATTAGGTGCGCACAAAGACCTTTGATTTAACCGGGGATTGAACCTACGTCCTCAAAGATGAGCCGTACGCTGAAGCCACTAGGCCAACACTGCTCACCGCGCCAAAATTTTAACCCACGACTTGGGTTGGGTGACACGCCCTACCGCTGAACTATGTTACGTCTTATTCTTAAGGAAATTTTCACTTTAAAGAAAACGATTCTGTTAATTCTTAGAACGGAAAAACCTTTACGAATAAGGAGTTATTTAAATATTACGCGACACCTGTTCCAATCAATTTAATAAATATTTAATTGTTTCCCCAATATGGAGAACGCGTCACGCTTCTTTGAATGATTAACATTATCCCTTTTACTAACGACAGCTGAGTTTCCTCCTTAGTGGCTAAGTGGTTAAATTGTAGGTTAGATTCCGAAACAAATTGTTTCGGTTCGTAGGCTTAGCATGCTAGAAAGTAAAAGCTTTATTATACACAGTAAAAAGGATATGAAGTAAAAAGAAAGTGCACAAAAGGATTCTCTATGTCGTGGGCAGCCAGTCTCTTCTATTCTATTCTTGCACAATAAGAGTATTTTCCGTTTCGGCATATTACAGGCTGTGATGTTGCTTAAGATTGTTAGTGAATGTACAAAGTTTTGAGTCGATAGTGAAAATTGTGTTTTTAAAAAATTGGTTAAATAGAAATACCTCTGAAGGAGAAAAAGCGTTAGACGAAGAAAGCGCGATTTTTGGGTAGCTTCAAGCCGGGTCCACATTTGTAGCATTTCGGTGTATCGTATCTCCGTTGCGTGGCTTCGGCGCGTATCATGATCGTTAGTTTGGACGCAAAATGATACCCGTTTATGATACATGCCGTATCGGATACGGCCCGATCCGCACTAAGCGCGTATCTTGATACACCTCGTATCCGATACGCGTATCACGATCGGTGGTATGGACGTATTTTGATACTGTATCACGATACTGTATCGCGATACGATATTTTGGATACACCGCGAACCATCCTGTGTCGGTTTTTTCGCGATCATCAAAGGGAATACACAACATCAATGGGTGACATGCGAGTGAAATTTTGTATTTTCCGCTGGTATGCTGAAATTTTAAATCTCGCATCAATGGTATTCCACCATGTTTGTTTCGGTTTCTAAACACTTCCAGCGCCGTCTACGTCTAGATTTAACTTTTTTTTAAATACTATTAATGATAATATAACAGGCGCTAGTCACCGCCAAACTGTGAGCAATTGCTGACATGGTTAAACCGTTTTGGAACGAAGACATGACTGAAATTGGAGAAGGGAAAGGTGATGAAAGACACGCGCATCATGATACATCGGAAGAAAAGTGAAGGTCTATATTTGTAAAGTTAAAGCCGATACACTGACATGATAAGCATTTGATAAGTATGGACGCGTTTTTTACAAGATACGCCTTAAATATACGACATGGACAAAATGAGCGTCCATATTTATGATAAGATACTAGATACGATACGACTGATCGTGAAGTCAATGTATACCGGCTTTATATGTAGGTTTTGCGTTGTGTACCTATGCTGTGGTGTGGTCGGTGTTTGTTTCCAAGTCAGCATATAAGATTATAACATACATTTCATAAAACCAATGTTATCGAACGATTTCTGAGCTATAATAAGCTTAGACGAATTTTTTGAAACCTCTCAACACTCAACTATCACGATCGGTGAATAGTGTACAAACAGAGTTATCTAATATATTAAATTCTCGTGTCGCGGTGTTTGTTTTGTGGTTAAACTCCTCCAAAACGGCTTGACCGATTCTCATGAAATTTTGTGTGCATATTGGTTATAACTGAGAATCGGACAACATCTATTTTTCATCTCCCTAAATGTTAAGGGTAGTCCACCCCTAATTATTTTTTTTAATTTTTTGTTAATTTTTATTTTTTTATGATACAGCATTAAAAATACATACAACCCCTAATTTTCAGCCCTCTACGATCAAACCCTATTTTTTATTATAAATGATATACATGGCAAAACGACGTTTGCCAGGTCAGCTAGTATCTATATAAAATTTAATTATAAAAAAAAAAACAGTGACGCTACAGATTTCTGACATTTCTGTATCTGCTATCTGTTATCTGTATCTGTTTCATGATCATATGCTAATAATTGAGATTGATTTGCTCCAGTTCAAATATTTATGGCTGCTCTGTCAATTTGTATGACCCAAAACTTGGCGATTAAAAATAGTGGCGGAGAGTTTCTTGCCAGGGTTTCTTGTCCGCTCTACGCCCTTCACTTGCAAACTGATGTATAGTAAATTTAGAATCAATTTAACATCTTATCTGTTGACGTTCACAGGTGTATATTAATAAAGTTATTTTGAGTTTGAGTTCGACTTTTTGGGTCTAAGGCAAGTCGGTTTCCTCACGATGTTTTCCTTCACCGTTCGAGCGAATGTTAAATGCGCACATAGATAGAAAGTTCAGGTGAACAGCTGGAGATCGACCTCAGAGATAAGTGCACACAGCCACTAGGCCAATACTGCTCTTAAAAAATTAGTTTAATAAATGCGAATACTTAACTCTTTAGTCGGTTAAGAATGACATGTCTCCGTATCCCTTTAGACGGATGTCGCTTTTATTAAGATTCCGAGAATGTCGGCATGCAAATTATATTAATATAATCATTTATATTCGTCAGGCCTACGTTGACAATAGCTACGTTGAAAACAATTTTATTGGGCCCTAAATTATGAATTTTATGTCGTCTGTCAGAATTTGATATAATATTTAAAACGGTCCTGCAATTTCTGTTTCTTTTGCATGAGAATAGTATTGTGTGATTCGGAGTCACCGCTAAAGCGTTAAATTATCGAACTCTAACTCGAAAATATCTTTATTCAGTACACTTATGAATCGTCAAAATGAAGTTAGATTAATTGTAAATTTACATTAACTACCAGTTCGCAAGTGAAGGGCGTAGAGCGGGTAAGAAGACTGGCAAGAAACTTTCCGCCACTATTTTCAATCGCCAAGTATTGTCATACAAATTGTTTGAATTGGAGCAAATCAATCCCAAGGATTAGGACCATTTATGTATTCGTCAAATTTATAAAAAGCTTTATTGATTGAACTGAACTGAAATGAAAACGGGTATGCTTAGAAATACTTTTATACTTTGATGTAAAAAATCTTAAATAAAATTATATGAAATAAATCTTCAATACCTACATCCCAGACGCTTATTATTTTTTTACGTTTCTTGCACACAAATACACTATATACTTTTTTATTCTACAAAGTGGAGTGGAGAGTGTTATTCCTCCAGCCTCGTTTCAACATATGTACGACAGTATTAATTTAAAATTTCTTTTACGAATTGTGAAATGGACTCCCGGGAGATACCTCCAATTGTTTAAAGAAATTGTATACTCCTCCCTCAAAGGCCGGCAACGAAAATGGGTATCCATGGGCTGCGATGACTGCCCTTTCTGGGACCAATCGAGCCTACGGTAGATTGTAGATTGTCTTATTTCCATCTCGCTCGCGCACGCTATAATCACACTGACAACTTTATGTCTCAGGTGCGCGCGCATCGTAAAATTTCACTCTCATCAATTTTTCATAACGCGCCTATAGAAGTATAACTTCAAAAAAGAATTTAAATATTAACATAAAGAAATGTTTTTTGTGGAAATTAGGATCTATTAATATCAAGAATATATATTGTAACGTAGTATAATCCCGGTCGAGCAGTGTTGGCCTAGTGACTTCAGCGTGCGACTATCATCCCAGAGTTCGTAGGTTCGATCCCCAGCGACCAATGGACTTTCTTTTTATCTGCGCATTTACCATTCGCTCAAACGGTGAAGGAAAACATCGTGAGGAAACCGACATGTTTTACACCCAAAAAGTCAACGGCGTGTGTTAGGCACAGAAGTTTGATCACCTATTAGATTACCAAATGATCATGAAACAGTTACAAAAATCTGAGGCCGGAACCTAAAAAGGTTGTAGCGCCATTGATTTATTTATTATAATCCCGGAACCTTTACTTATTTGATTTTGCTCTTTTACAGGCGCAGCTCCAGATCCGACTACCCTAAAGGTCCATCTTCCAAACGGAGGATTCAACGTAGTCCGAGCCTCGAACGATGAAGATGTACGGTCAGTGCTGAGATGTCTTGCAGCAAGACTAGCCGCGGGTGAACGTGTGTATGCGTCGTGTTTTGCATTGCGCGCGCGACGGTTGACTACGGGAAAGGTAAATCAGATTTTTCTATATCTAGAAAGTAAGAAAAGAAAGATAAAAACGTTTATCCGGTTAAAGAACAGACACATAAAAGAAACCCAACTCGGCTTTAAGGCTCAATCCCAGCACGATTTGCTGTATCAGTGTCTCGGGGTGGAGCCTTTGTTCGTCGGCTACAGCAATCTTTTTGATTGTTGTGGTGACTTAGAGGACGACGATCTCCATCATCATTGGCACCCCTAAGTACTTTGAACAAAAAAACATAAATAGCAATTCGGTAGGAATATAATAAAACGAAAATTATATATGTTTCCTGTACATTTTTATTATATGTATGTCAATTAAGGTTCTTTTTCTCTTCTCATTTTAAAGACTAGATCGTTCGTGTTCTTTATGATACTAAGCGTACGTACTAATATTTTTCATATTGTGTAATTTAAGCAATATTTTAACATTTCAGATCAGATGGATTCACCAAGACACACCAGTGTCAGAGTTATTAACGGTATGGCCGGCCAGCGAGTGGCGATTGGAGTTGCGGGTTCGGTACCTACCGGCTAACTTGAGAGACCTGTGTGACTCCGATCGAGTCACCTTTCACTATTATTATGATCAGGTAAATTTGGTTATGAGGAAGGGTGGTGAAGGACACGTCGAAACTGGTTTACAAAACTGTATCATTACTTTCGGACGTGATCTTCTGTTTTCTATCAAATGTCAAAAAGAATTTATTCATGTAGGCAACACAGTGTACACTTATGAACGTCAAAAAAGAAATATACATTAAATGCTTCTAATTTTACATTTACTGCCAGTTCTCAAATCAAGGGCGTAGGACGGAAGAGAAATAAACTGGCAATAAACTCATAATATAATAATCTATAACATTAAAAAAACTACATATTCATACTTGCATTCTGGCATCGAGATTGTCCATGGGCGGGCGGTATCATTTAACATCAGATAATAACATATACATAGAAAATGTCATCCGTTGACTCAGAAGTAGTTTCAAATGAGTAAATTGTCACTGATAAATATGTCACGTGACATGACTAAATTTTTTAAGTGGCTCACTGGCGTCCAGCTTAGCTTATGGTCATTTCGCCATGTCACCCATAACTACCTAGATTAGCTATTTTCTTCATTAGTTGATCTTTAAATTCCAGGTGAGACATGACTACCTCAACGCAAATCATCCGATGGTCGATCAAGATTTGGCGATTCAGATATGCTGTTTGGAGATCAAGTGAGTGGCTACTTTTTAAACTTCAAGTACAGTGTTGTATGAATAGTCGAGCACATTTTATTCAACGAATTTAAGAAGAAAATCTAATAAATCGATGAACGCCGGCTGCACGCACGAAAAATCATGACACATTGTCCAGTTACGCTCGTGGTACGCTTGCGCCGCATCTCTCTTCCACTCGATTGGCTTATGCGTCCGAGGATTCACTCCTTTGTATCCATACAAAATATAAATAATTTATTTAATTCATAAAAGTATGCAATAATTTCATCAATGTTTAGTTATTACATTGTCACGTTAAACTATCGTCGGTAAACCGACTTTAAAGACAACCATTTTTGATTGATAAGTGAGCGTTCAACACAATTTATGGAGATTTTGAAAAAAAAATGTAATGCGTAGTTGAAACTCTCCTCCAACGCCTGTAAAATAAAAAAATAAAATATGTTTATTATGGAACATAAGATACATGTATCACTTATTCCACGTCATTAAATTTGAATTTGTAGGCATCCCTACTCATCGACAAAGAAGACAGAGGGTGTAGGCCGAGAGAAAAAGCCGGCGTAAAAAACTCTCGGAACTCTTTAAAAATAGCAAATCATGTAACGCATCGTAACATAACATTTAATACCTTCCTCCCCATTCGTTTACGTCTTACTTGGACGCTCCCTAACAGGAGCCTATAAAAGAGTTAACCTAACATACAAATGTGTGTGAGTCATACTCAATTGGTGTTACGGGCCCTCAAAGTAACTTTCATTTTGCAACATGATTCAATTAATGTTTTATATAATAGGGCTGGCTATACTTGAAAGTTTAAAGCGAGCATTTTTGTAGTTTGATAATTTTAATTAATATTTTTAACTTACTCTATTAAAATATCCTTTGTTCCAGATATTATTGCAAAGATATGCAAATTTCGTTGGACAAGAAATCGAATATTGAATATCTGGAGAAAGAGTTTGGTCTAAACCGATTCCTGCCTAAGTCTGTGTTAGATGCGATTAAACCCAAAGTACTGAAGAAGGCTATTCAACAGCAGTTTAAAAAGGTAATTATAGTTCTTCCATCATTATTTACCTTCCATTATCGTGAGGTCTCAGTAATGTACTCTGGAACTTCTAATAGCAACAAGTTCGATATAGACAAGACAATTAAAGAGCGTACCGATTCTTAACTTGAAGGCAACGGATTAATTGAAACTATAAGTTATATATATATATATGATGACTGTTGGCCTAGTTGCTTTAGCGTGCGACTCTTATTCCTGAGGTCGTAGGTTCGATCTCCGGCTGTACACCAATGGACTTTTTACGTCCGCGTTTAACATTCGCTCGAACGGTGAAGGAAACATCGTAAGGAAACCGGCTTGCCTTAGATCTAAAAAGTCGATGGCGTTTGTCAGGCACGGGAGGCTGATCACCAATAATGATGATGATAATTTAAACACGCTCGTAATTTGGAAGATTTAATTTGCTCAAATATTCTTATACATCAATTTCAGGTAGCAAATTTGAGCGATACAGAATCTATGCTGAAATACTTGGAGACGATGCATACGCACTACGGGTATGATCGCGAGACGTTTACGGGCGCACTAGGAACCGGGTGGGCTATACCCGTTGAGCTTGCTATTGGACCGGATATAGGTAATGTATTTCTTTTATTTTACAGGTTATTTTAATTGTATATGGCAGAATAATTCATAGACTTACTGAATATGCATAAAAAAATTCATAGGAATCGGTCGAGCCGTTTCGTAGGAGTATGGGAACGAAGATTGTGTCACGACAATTTTATATTATATTTGATAGAAATGTTTGTTATATTGAAGATCAAATTCTTTCACGAGAATTAAATAGCAGAGATATTGTCATAGGTACTTACAAAGTCTCTGGCATAATCCCATTTCAATATTTTTGCGATAAAATTGAGATTAGTTTTTAGATAAGATTTCTTAAGAATGTGTCAGTGATTAAGAAAATGCAAATACCAATTTCTCTGCATTATACAATATTAATATGTCAAAAAGTTAAACATATGCCCGTTTCGCTGATCATCTAAATACATAACTTTTATTTAAATATAGCTTAAATATGATTATATGTATTTATCAATTGTTTTCAGATATTTCGTATGTATCCCACAAAGCTGGTGAACCTCCGACGTACACCAAAATAGCGTCATTCGGTGACATAGTCGCCGTGCAGACACTCAAATCTAACTGTACGCAACAGTCGCAGTCGCAGACGCAGGTACGTGTCACATTATTGTAATATCTGTGGTCATTTTATGATAATAACATTATTGACAATTTATAGCAACAGGTACAAAGTGAGTACCAATTCTCAAAAACCGGGAACGCATTTGCGAGCTTTGTGGCACTGTCTCTTATTATCTCTTAACATTCTTAGGAGATGAGCCTCCTGACCCATTACCCTGTTGTTTAAATAAAGTAGCATATTAATCTCTCTTTTTAATAAGACGTAACGTGTGAGGTGTCGATTGTACGACAAATTCTAAGAGCTGTTGGTTGAGAATGAACGAAATTGTGGGTCTGATTGTGATGTGACAAACTGACGTAATATAACGTAAATTGACGTATTGTGTCGATTGTCAACGTGTATTAGACTAAATAGGACGTTAACATCAAATGGAACGCGCCGTCCCCAATGTAAAACAAAAAAACAAATCAGTGAGATTTCCTGTATGTTCCGAATTTTTGAAGTTATACTTCTTTTGGCGCGTTAGAAAAAAATGATGTGAGTAAATGTTTACGATGCGCGCGCGCACATCGTCCCAAAAAACCGACACCAGCACACCGTCACTCAAAACCGACACCAGCACACCGTCACAAAAACCTGTTCAAACGTCGGTAAAACAGTCTGGGCCTCTAGTTGGCGCTTGCTCTGTTTTATCGACAAGTTGCATTGTCTGTTATGGCGTAGTGTTTATTAAAATTAAAATTATGATTTCTATACGAGAAAACCCGTTCCAATGTGATAAAAAACATAGTGTGTGATAGAAAAATACAATTCGAAGAGGGAAACGTCCCTCTAAAGTGCTCAAAGAAAATTATTACGCCAAAGTATAACTTCTAACGCGTGTACATAAGCACACACACGTTTTTTTTATAGAACAGGTGGCGAACGGACAGGAAGCTCACTTGATATTAAGTTATACCGTCCTCGAACACACTCCCAAAAGTCAGCAAGTGTGTTGTCGACCTTTTAAAATTGATCTAACTATTGGTCGTTAACTGTTATTTATTATATGCTAATTAATTACAGTTAACATTTAATACATGACTTTGAATAATCATGAATTAATTTATTCCAGAGCGGAAGTTCATGTGGCAAAGCAGCTCTACAGTTGAGAGTGAAAGGTGCAAGTGAAACCTTAACTATAACATGCAGTAGTGTTGATGTAAGGTCAAATTTTAATTAAAAAGTTATAATTTTAATCGTTTAAAAAACGGTTCGTTTCTCCTGTGTAGTTCGGAATTGGATAATTGAATATATTGGTCTAGATCATTGTTTTCCAAACTGGGGACCACGCCCCCCTGGGTTAATATTCGAAAATTTATTAAAATTTGAGTTTCAGTTTTTCATTGTTTTGAAAATTTATTTACTGTTTCGTAAACAATTTCCAAAGAATTTCTTCCTAAAACCTTTCATTTAAGTTTCATATATAAAAAAATCTGTATTTTAAGATAAGAACTTTATAACGAAATACTAGGAAACAATAGAAACACATTTTCCGACAATCTAAAATTTTCTCAGAAACTAAAAATTATACCGAGATGATCCTGGTTTGAATCGGATCCAATATTGCGCGATACGTTCACATGCATATTTATATTTAATTTTTTAATGTTAAATACTTTAAAAATAATATGTTTTGTTTCAGGCTGCAGAAAGCTTGGCGGACTTAGTAGATGGCTACTGTCGTCTTGTCACAGACTCGCAGACGTCGCTGTGGAATCGAACTAGTATGTATTTATTAAAAACGATTTTTCATTTTAGAGATAAATATATTTTTTCTAGAAATACTTCATTTTTAAACGCGTCTTTTCAAAACTTTTAATAATTCAATCCGTGACATTGATGGTCTCTGTAAAGTCTTAATAAATTTGAGCTCAGAAGGTTGTAAAGCTCCTCTTTGCTCTAGTGGCCCTCCCCTGGCTGGGTAGAGGACAACTCTATTGTTTTTAATTTTTTATTATTATATAATTACTTAAGATGAGTCGATGTGGAAGCACTGGTTTAAATGGTTACAGAACGTCCCCAAACTACCGCCAAACGTTAAAAGCGTAGAGTGTATTCTAATGAGAATAAAATAACTGGCGTAACATTCAAAACTTGCAAGAGACAATGGCAGAGAGATTAGATTATTGTCTGTTTGCCAGTAAGAGCTCGTAGATGTGTGTGTGTACCTTATATATACGTAGATTTTTATTAAAATACATAATTTGTTTATTTCTTATTATTAATAAATACGTTTAATGCAAGCTACCGTTTGGAAACAACTCAACTGTCAATGCAAAAGTAAGTTTTATAATAATAGTTTTTGAATGATGTGAACATAAATTAGAAAATTGAAAGGGATACAAAAACATTCAAGCAAACATCTAAATTTTTCTAGCATCCATTACAGCTGTTTGAAATATTTCAATGTTTTCTGGGAAAATAAATCAGTTTTGAATAGATTATTGTTCGCAAAAATTACACCATTAGAAAGGTATCCCATATTTTTATTTTTAGCGGAAATGAGCAGCAGTTCCTCAGAAGGCAAAACCAGCTCATGGGAAGGTAACTCCGCTACCCTCCTCTCGGAAGACTATGCAGAAATCGTTGATGACGACGCCGACTATTCTACTCCGGCTGGTGAGGAATATATTCTATTCGCTTTATTGTATGGGATTAGATAGAGATGGGAATATATATAATTAATAATTAACAAACTTTGAAAACAATTATTTACAACTTTTTTTTATGAGTTAATTTTACACAGTTAAATAATTTTATATGGACAACATATCTTTTAGTGACATACAAACACACATTAATGTTGAATTCTGTTGGCAAACTTATCTTGAAGTGTTGTTCAAAAAAAAAAATTGAATTTTTGACACTTAGAGGGACTGAAAAAGACACATTTTAAAATATGTTAGGAAGTTAATTATTTTTACACTTGCTAAATAATAAATAATAAATAATAAATAATAAATAATAAATAATAAATAATAAATAATAAATAAATAAATAATAAATAATAAATAATAAATAATAAATAATAAATAATAAATAATAAATAATAAATAGCATAAATTTTAAATAATTGATAATAAATAATAAATAATAAATAATAAATAATAAATAATAAATAATAAAACAATAAATAATAAATAATAAATAATAAATAATAAATAATAAATAATAAATAATAAATAATAAATAATAAATAATAAATAATAAACAATAAATAATTTAAATAATAAATAATAAAAACACATAATAACACATAATTTTTTCAAACCCCGAAAAGAAGTTTCACTCCAAAACAATACTCAAAGAAAAAATAAAATAAGACATATCAAAAACAATAAAATTTAAAAATTAAAATTAAAAACCTTTTGCCTTTGCCATTCGGTTCGTTCTCCCAGTGTGCAATGTGTGTGTACTGTGGTTGTAATTGGCCTCTGGCTCAGCATTATGCTGAGGAGCAGAAAGTTCCGCTGGTCATTCTGCCAGAGACCACAGCATAATATTGAGTTTTGTTATTTTGACATAATATCATTGCTACATTGAAACTGAAATCGATACTGTTGTACGTGTTGGAGCAAGATAATTTTAAATATTTGTAATTCCAGTTCGTGACTACGAGTTGGTTCGTAATCAAATCGAATTAACGGGTATAATCGGTGAAGGCCAATTTGGGGATGTCCATAAAGGTAAGGAAATAAATAGTTTTTTGTTAATACCCTCTTACGTACGTACCCGTAATATTCTATAACTTTAAAACCTTAATGTGTAAAGGTTACTACACAGTCAATGACTACCTGGAAGATAAAAACGCTTGGCAATAGTTCTAATTATATTCTTATAATTTGATTTGTGTGTAATGGTGAATGTGGTAAATCACAGAACAGATTTTTATTTTTTTTACTTATGTAACTTTAATGACGTTGTGGTTTATGACATTTTCCTTTGAATAATTGTAATGTAAAGGGAGGGCAAAACTTGCTGAGTTTCTTGCCCGTTCTTCTCAGAACAAGGCCTCCTGGTAGTTTTGCGAACGGATGGCGTAGTCTTGCTCTTTCGTGAATTTTGTAAACGTTGTTGACATTCATAAGCATGCTCTAAGAAGCATCTAAATTGAATAAACGTATTTTGATTGATTGATTGATTGATTTGATATATTTTCGGACGTCCAGGCAGAATACGATACCTATATCAACATAATGTCTGTCGATCCACAACTGAGCGTTTTTAAGGCAGTTTTTGCCTTTACGCACTTGCGAACTGCTTAAAAAGCCAGTTACGCACTTTCGAACTTTCTAGCAATGTGTGTGCGTGAGTGGTAACACTTAACATCAGGTGAGCGTCCTGCCCGTTTGGTCTTACGAATAATACAAATATAGTCATAAAATCAATGATTACTAGAAAAAAATGGCTGGTAAATAAATTAATATTTTTTATTATTTTTATTCTAGGTACGTGCAAAGTAACGTCAGCAAATCACCCATCTTTACGTCGCCAACTCGCGCTGCAAAAGCAACAGGGGAAGAGCTCGACGGGCGAATACGTTTTGCCCGTAGCCGTCAAGACTTGCAAGATGGACGCTGATCTTGATACAGCCGAGAAGTTTCTGGAAGAAGCCTGTGAGTATTATACATTTGGAAAATATTTATACGTTCGAACTGAGGGAGATGTATAATAATATAACATAGCATTTTTTAATCAAATTATGCAGTTTTTATACACAAGACAACACAAGTTAATAAACTATTTGTTTTCACAGACATAATGCAGCAATTTTCACACCCCCATATAATCGGTCTGGTGGGGGTGTGTAGTACTCCTCCCATTTGGATAGTCATGGAACTGGCTACGCTTGGGGAGATGAGGGCCTACTTACAACAGAACTCTCATAGGTATTTATTTTTTTTTGTTCATTTCCATAGTAAGTTCTAGATCAGACCTACCCATCGTAAGGCACACAAATTGGATTGTACTATTCGAAAATTTACTAAAATTATTTGGAATTTGAATATTAGTTTTTCATTGTTTTGAAAATTTTCTTATAGTAATTTCTTAAAACCTATCATTTATGTTTTTTCAGTATGTAAATTCGAATTTTTTATATTAATAATTATATGTTACATAAGAATTTTGGAAGACCTACATATTTTCTTCATAACAACATACTAAATTTAAATTAGTTATTAAATTACGATATACATATATATATATTAATCTATTAGACATCCTTTATTAGAATAATGTTTTTTACTATAAGAACCATTTGCTGTCAATTTCAGTTTGTCGAAATGCAATTCAGACACTTAACGCTAAGTAAGACTGCCATATGTCAAAATATTGTATATACAAAAGCCTTAGTTTGAGCTTATTATACGGCTGTTATTTTTACCTCGCTTTCCGAATAAAATATAAGTAATCTAAGTAACGACTTATAGTTATTTCGTTAAGATGAAGTTTAAGTTTTGACGATCTTTCTATGTGCGCATTTAACATTTTCTCGAACGATGAAGAAAAACATCGTGAGGAAACCGACATGTCTTAGACACAAAATGTCAACGGCGTGCGTCAGGCACTGGAGGCTGATCACCTACTTGCCTATTAGTGAAAATCATGAAACAGATACAGATATCTGAGGCCCAGACGTAAAAAGGTAGCGCCACTGATTTTTTTTTTTTAATTATAAGTTAAATAGAACAGTGCCGTGTTTGTTGAATGAATACCCCATATTTTCAGGTTAGAAACGTGTACCCTCGTGCTGTACATCTACCAGCTGTCAACTGCTCTTAGTTATTTGGAGAGCAAGAAATTCGTGCATCGAGATATTGCTGCGAGGAATGTTCTAGTCTCAACGCCTACTTGTGTTAAGGTATGTATGTAGATCAATTTTATTGACCTACCCTCATTTTTCATCAATCGGGCAAATGTCATCTGTCATTTGGATGCTATTGATTCACTCGTTGAATATGAACTTTTAAGTCTTGTCGTTCGCGGTTCCGTTGCTTGCCTTATACATAGCTCTCCGGAGAATATTGCACTACACATCCACCTTCAAACAATGCTCTAGAACCAAACTGAAGTTTCACCCCTTCGTTGTTGACATTCCCAGATGCGCACTGCATTTGGATAGTCGTTTCTTATATTATCAGCAAAGGAGTGGATTTCTTTGCCCCATTCCATCTTTCCCAGAAGGTTTATAGGTACATTTAAGCGGCGGTTAAATAGGCATCTCCTGGACCTCCTTTTTTAACATCAGGTGGAATTGTGGTCAAACGCCTGTCCAGTTCTGTATTGTAAAAAGGAGAGTTCTTTTTTAAATAGCGAAAAAGTGCTTTAAAGTATTCAGTTAAAATTATTGCATTGCATTACATTGATTTTAAATAGAAACTGAGTGATTTAATGTAAACCTACATGAAATATCTAAACTGATAAAAGTAAAATTTGAGTAGTAATTTACAAGACTATATTTGCATGTGTGAGTGTGTGCAATCAATACTACTAATACAATAGTTTATATAAAACCCTTAGCTTGCATAGTCTTACATACAACAAATTTAAAAGAACTTTAAACCATTGGCTCGGGACACTGGACTATGACAAAACAGAATCTACATTATAATTTTTTCCAAAAACCTTTTTTTTCATGCACCCTTTCACTTAGATTGGTTTCGTCTATCACACACACACAATTACACATTCATATCATCATCACACAGTCATCATATATTCACATATTTTTTTTGTTGGTTATTTTTGTTGAAACTTTGTTAATTTAAAGAAGAGCGAGGCTTCCCTGTCACAGCCCTGCGATTCTCTAACTCACTTTTCGAACTCACACAGCGGTTTTCGCATCGGCGGTCGCTCTCAAATCAGTCGTGAAGCAGTCATTTTATGATTTGGCATTCTGATAAACAATAAACTACAAGCTCCCACCTTTTCAGAATGCCAAATCATAAAATGACTGCTTCACGACTGATTTGAGAGCGACCGCCGATGCGAAAACCGCTGTGTGAGTTATAGAATCGCAGGGCAGGTCTCGGACTTACTAGGGAAACCTCAATCTGAATTCGATTATACATAGCTAAACAAATAAAGAATTTTGATTTTTATTGAACCACATTTGTAAAAAACTAATTTGTCTAAAACGCCAATACTTAAATTTAGTCTTAAGACATGTAAAACCTTTTTTTCCGTAAGAAGATTGTGACTTGAGAAACGAACTAGAATATTTACTTTAACCCCAAAAAAACAATTCATACAAAATCACCAGAGAAAAGTCCTCAATGTTAAAATGTTATAATCCCACTATGATTTTTAATCTATAAACTGTATCATAAGGAAAAACAGTAACAGCCGTTCTGTTCAGTGTGTCTGGCGATATAATTCGAAATTAATTTTAGTAAAAATCAATTTTGAAACAAATTTTGACAAAACATTGTTTTTTTTACAGTTAGCTGATTTCGGCCTATCAAAAATGGTTGAAGACAAGTCATACTATAAGGCCTCCAGAGGGAAACTGCCAATTAAATGGATGGCCCCCGAGTCTATTAATTTTAGGAGATTCACATCTGCTTCGGATGTGTGGATGTTTGGTAAGATAAATAAATTTAAAAAAAAACGTGTATGTACTTATGTACACGCGTTAGAAGTTATACTTCTTTGGCGTAACAAGATAAAAATCTTTTCGAAAAATTTGTTCTACACTTGTAGAAAAAACGACACTGACAATTCTAGAATGCTGACTATAGCTAACTCCAGGGTGTCGGTTTTTTTGTGACGGTGTGCGGGCGCATCGTAAAAAATTACTCTCATAATTTTTCCCTAACGCGCGAAAATGTCTGTCTATGGCCTATAGCTTTTTAATAGTGACTCATTCCGTTTGTTTAGGCCTTTAACATTTTAATAATCTAATCTTATCTAACTAAATTAAAGAAGTTGATTATAAGTTAATCTCAACGATTAAATTGCCCGATCAAGATTACCTGCATTTAAAAACCAAGTAACGCATGGTCCATTTTCAGGTGTGTGTATGTGGGAGATTTTAATGTTGGGCGTGAAACCCTTCAGTGGAGTTAAGAACAATGACGTCATCGGCAAATTGGAAAACGGTGAGAGGCTGGCGTTGCCTCCAAGATGCCCTCCGAGGCTTTATTCTTTAATGTCCAGGTGTTGGACTTACGAACCTTCACATCGGCCTACCGCTGGTCAGCTTAAGGAAACTCTGTGGTGAGCTCTTCTTGGATAACTTGCCTTTCTTGGTAGTTGCTATGATTTAGTATATTAAAAACAACTTAGTATGTATCTTTCTGAATATCTAATGTATGTACCTAGACATTTTAATGTATACGAAGATATTAGGAGACAGAATTCAATGTAGCATACACGTTATTTTATCGATACTTTACATCAACATCTTTTTATCGTTACGTGCACATAACTACAAGAAAACGTTTTGCATGTTTCGCGCGTATGTGTGCGTGTACGCAGGTAACCAGAAGGTGATACGTGAGTCAGTGTGCTTGGTGCCTTGATATTGGATACACATATTATGTTTACTTCTCTATATTATTTTTGTATACGTAACAAAACATTTCGATAAACAAAATTTGTGTATCGATATAATGTCCTCAAGAATGAAAACTAAATTATGTAGATATAAGAATGGCAAGCCGTCAAAGCCGGTACAAGCTTTTACAGTATAAATGTACAATTAAACGTGTTTATTTCAGTGAAATACTCCAAGAAGAGCGGAGTACGGCTTGGGACACGATGCGACGTGAGAACAGACGCGTCGCAGCGGGTTCTTGGGGTGAACACGCACCGCCGAAGCCCTGCAGACCCACTACGGATCTATCTGCAGGTAAAACTCTTGATAACTCTTTCTCACTCTCTTTTACAGTTCTTACAAATTCATTTTAATTCTATTATTAGTACATATATCAATAATAATTATAAGTAGAAATTTAATGTAAGTTATAAAAATGTTTCGAGTTTGATTGCTTTTTTGTCTTTATAACTATGTATTTATATTGTTTCTATCAATGCAAGCTCACTAGTTCAGGACTTACGATTTAACTCAATGTATAAAGTAGGTTTGATTAAAATCAAATCTGAAATTTCGTCAAAAGGAAGCGAAGAAGTGAAAAACTATTTATTTTAGTGGCAGACGCGACAACAGGCACCGCAGGCGGACCGCAGACCTACATCGTGGCGCAGAACCCGTTGGTGTTGGCCCATCTGCTTCGAGAAAACCAGTCCCGGGCCATTCACCCCCAGGCCTACAACACTCCCGCCTCGGTATTCAACACCGTAGCAGTCGACTTCGCGCAAACTCTACCGGAGAACATCGAAAAGATCGCCAATCCCAAACCCGACGAAATCATAGATATCCCTCTCCACACGGCTCCGATCCCCGCCGACAAACTCCACAAACTCGACCCTGTCGTCCCCGAAACGGAGACCCACACCGTCGTCATCGACGCCAAGGAGAGCTGCGACAACCTTTGCCAGAACCTCTCCCCGAAATCCCCGAAACTCGAAGAAAATCCCGAATCTTACCCTAGTAGGGTCAGATCTCTCGAACGTACTCCCCGCAATACTCTGTCCGAGCGCGGGCCTATTCGAATGGGCTCGTTGGAGAGGAACGCCCGAGGCAGTCTGTCCCATCGCGGTTCCCCGATCCCGATCGCCCCTTTCACTAGACAGCACTCGGTTCCGGCGTCTCCCCCGCCGAGAAGTCGTCGCGAACAAGACATAGGCCAGTTCGCGGTTCAAGGCTCTCTAAACGCGCAATTAGCCGCCAGCGTCGTGAATAAGATGCGTCATCAGCCAGATCCGCCTCTGGTCGAGGAGATTTACGACTTCGGGGGCGACAATGTGAAAAGTTGCGTCGCGGTCGCCGCCCACAAAGCGGCGTTGAAGCCCCAATATCGGCCGATAAACATGGCCGCGTCCCACCCGTCGTCGTACGGGGTTCCCGTGGGGGTCGTTCAGGGTGTTCCCTACCAGAGTCCCGCGAAACCGACTCACAAGTTTCGGTCGAACAGTCCGCAGGCGTATCCGTCGTCGCCGCAAGGCTATCCGATGGGCGTGGTTCAGCCCACGTACCAGCAGACGTTCGGTCAGAACGTGGTGCAGGGTCAGCCGATGCTGTACAGACCCCAGGTCTCGTGCGCTCAAGCCGTTCAGTCCGTAGCGGGCTTTCAGAATCAGTCTCGTCCCCAATTGGCGGGAGTTGAGAGTTCTCGTCAGGAATCTTCGTCTTCTTCGGCGCAGGCGCAGGTGAATGCAAAAACTAGCATGCTTTATTTTTGTTTGCGTAGATGGCATGTCTTGACTTTATTTTTGACAAACGGGTACCAATCTTGTGAATGGGTTCCTGTTTCACGTTCCTTTTTATTTTCTGTATATGATTCCTTTTTGATTTTATTTTCCTTTTTTTACAGAGTTGTGTGTCTGGGTTTCTCCGGTAGAATTTGGTTTTTTATTTGACTAGTCGAGATCACATGTGTGCCAGAATCTCCGAGCATTTTTTGGTAGATAGAAAGCTTTCCGTTCAGTTTTTGTTTTAGTAGCAAACGCTTTATCGATATATCATTGCAATAAATACTTTACACATGGGATTTCCGATATTCAATAACTTTTATTTTATGGAATAAAGAACTAATAATGTCCGTTAGTAATAAATCTAAACTTTTAATTATGACAGTTAAATCCTTTATGAAATCTTAAAGTAAAATTGTTAGTAAGGTTTGGTAGCACCATCTATTTTTCGCTGTAAATAATTTAAAAAATTTGGAAACTTTTCTTAATTTCTTTCTTAAAACTTGTATAGAGGTCAACCGGGTACAGTTCTATTAATATTAAATATACAATCTAATTGGATAGAAGGTACTAACCGCATTGTTGGTTCTAAATACGTTCACGTGAAAATAACATTTATGTCCATACAAATAGAGTCCAGAATTCGATACGGAGCAAGCTGTGGAAAGGCGATTGTTAGCTGAATTAGCGAGACAACAACATCAGAGCGAGGAGGACAGACGATGGCTTCAAATGCAAGAAGATAATTTGGTACGACAATGTTTTGTTCTTATCACTCTCGGGTTATACTGAATATATATGACAGTGACAGAACGATGTAGAAGTTTCTTATGGTACATTTATTTCGAATTCACATATCAAGGCTCACAACGTATTGCGTAATCAATCTTGTCTTCTCTTTTATTTTCATATATGTGCATATATGGGTATATACCCATCACAAATCTGACCGCGACAACCGTTACTTACCGTCCTTGAGTTTTTTTCAGAAACGATTATCGAACGTTCAAGTCACAAGTTCGGAGGAACAATCAAATGACAGCAGAATCGAGGCTTCGCGCGAGAAACCTTCTAGTCAAACACACTCAGGTAAGAAAGGAAAGGTGTTTGTTTAAAGTAGATTTTTCTTATTCTCTTCTAACTTTAAAAGCGTCAATAATAATGTAATTTTTCGTGGAAATTGAATTCAAGTCTTCTGAGCTACGGTGATTACTTTGGATAGAGTCATGACTTTTTTTAAACATTTTTAAACACAGTTTTAAACTATTTCTTTTAATAATTACTATTTGTTTATTTCAGTGACAAACTCGACCGAAACCAGTCCAGCTAATACAGTGAACCCCAAAGATAAACCAGCTAACGAGGAAAAGGTATTTAATTATTTTTAATTTTCTTGCTTACACGCAGGTGTGTAAACTTATTTGTTTTAATAGCGTAAACACACATAACCGTCATTTGTCACTTTGACAATTTGCATAACAATACTGTCATGGAGACATTGTTTCTAGTTTAACAAATTCAAAATCATTCAACTTATGAACGTCAATAAAGAAATACATACTAAATGCTTCTAATTTTACATTTACTGCCAGTTCTCAAATCAAGGACGTAGAACGGAAGAGAAGAACTGCCAATAAACTCTCCGCCACTCTTTTTAATCAAATTAATTGACCCTAAGAATAATATATAAAGAAATGCAAGTTAATGTATAAACGATATAAATTTTCGATGTTTTATGATTAGTCAACAGTTAATCCATAGATAAACCGCTATAATATGGATATGAAAATAAGTTACCTTGACAATTGACACTTAGAAGTAATTGACAAATTCATCTGAATGCGACCAGTTTTTTTATATGACATGGCAAGCATTTCACTGACTTATAAGAAATTCATAAGAAATCATAAGAAAAAAAACATACTTTTCTTGGCCGGTAAGAGCAACGCTGTCATGGACATTAGTATTGCCAGTAAATTAAAATTAACCATTATAAGGGGAATATTTTGAAGTCATGCAGGCGAACTTAATAATTTATTAAAATGTCTTAATAAAACAATGTATACTAATATATATATATAATATATATATATAGTATCTAGAAAATACAGTTCTAGGCTTAAATAAATGTGACACAAACTAAGGAAAAACTGATGTGATAGGGTTTTGTTACCTGTACTATTAATATAATATCTTTTAAGATACCCAGCATTCAGAACCGTTCGATAATTAATAATGCAAGGAATAAAAAAAAATACATTCTAGTTGGATTTTTATTAGATGTTGGTAGATAGTAAAATTATTTATTGTACGCACCAAAAAGGCGACGGTAGTACCAATTTCAGACGCCGGCCAAGAAAAGTATGTGGCACTGTAAAATACGGGACAGTTTATTATCATTTATATCTATATATTTATTGTTAAAACAATCACAACAATTTCCCACGTGATATCCTAATTAGGGTCAGCACAAATGTACTGCTATATGACAAATAGGAAATGTTACCTATTTTTAACTATTCTAGCCCCAAGCGCCAAGTACGTCGACGCCCAACAAAGAACCCGTGTACGTGGCGACCACGGAAGTGGTTCGTTGCGTCATGCGATTAGCGAGCACCGCGAATAAGTCCGTGACGCCCGCTTCTATATTGGAAGCCGTGCGAGGCGTCGGAGCTGCTTTACGAGAATTGTGCGCCACTGTGGATGCTTTGGTCCCGCCTTATCCTGTTAACGCTCAGAGGTAAATTCTTATACCGCTTTGTTATAAACAACAGTGGTGTTACCACCTTTTGGTATAAACAACAGTGGTGCTACCACCTTTTTGATCTAGGCCACATTCACTGAATCAGTTTCGTGACCATTTCTTACTTATAATAGGCAAGTAGGTGATCAGCCTTCTGTGCTACACACGCTGTCGTTTGGTCTAAGGTATAAAATAATAAAATACAAAATTAAATGTGTTTATTCAATTGACAATAATTTATAATGTGTAAGGATTTGGCATGCTGGTTTTCTTACGATGATTTCTTTCTTCGAGCGATTGTTAAATAGAAAGTCCATTGGTGCACAGCCTGGGTTCGAACTTAAAACCACTGGGATGCATGCTAATAGTGCTCATATATGCATATAGTGAATATCAGATAAGCAATACTTTCAGTACTTTATTTATTATTATTACCTTTACGCAATTAATGCTTGTATTGTATTAAATAATATTACAAGGAAAGTCTAAAACACAAAAGTTTACAATTGTAAGGGCCTGGAAGGCTGATTACCTTATCTCATTAAGTCATAGAGTTGAAGGAAACATTTAAATCTCAGGCTGGCCAATGGTGAAAGCGTTACCACAGCATACTATTTTAAATTACTAAAATTTTACAATGCTTTAAAATAATTATATACTGTAAAATAATATTTCTGAACTTATTTTGTTCCAGAGAGGTGGAAATGGCCCACCAAGTGCTGAGTAAGGACATGTCAGGTCTGGTGGAAGCCATGAGGCTCGCCATTCACTATCACAACACTACGCTGCATCATGAGTACACTAAGTAAGTGTTTGGTTTAACTTTATGAAAAAAAAATGAAAATATTTGTTTAGCTATTGAAGAAACACACGATTTATGGACAACATATTTAGTCACTAACCAAGATCTTTGTAAACATGGACTAAAGTTGACGCCACACACTAGTTACTTTTATTCATTTATAATATCTAATAATTGTATGTTAACAAAACTGTTAAGGCAATTACGGCAAATATAAATTCTGATATTTCCCATCCCAGAAGCATGTTAGCAGCCGCCCACGTTCTCGCAATGGATGCGAAGAACCTTCTGGACGTCGTCGATTGCATTCGCGAGAGATACCCCCACATCGACTGGCGAGCCGCCCTCTCGGAGGCCGACCTATCTCCCACCATCCACAGCCCACAAAACCAAACTCTCACACAGAACAACCAATGCCAAACGCTGATCCCGCAAAACCCAGTTCTCAGCACCCAATCGTCCATTCAAGAGGACCCCAAACCGGACTTCAAAGTCAACCAGCCGGTCACGACCGTACCCACCATACCCACAGAGCACCAGAAAGAGCATAACTCTCTGCCCGTCACATCCAATCGCGTCTCGACCCTCATACACAACTACAATTTGTATGGAAACGTCCGCGAACCGCACATTTACGGCAACGAGGTCCATTCCCAATCGATCGACGATTCCAAAATCGATACAGCCCCGATCGAGTCGGTCAAGAGTCGAGTCCAAGCGATCTCTGGGAAGATCGACTCGCCGCCGATCTATTCGATTAGCAAGAAAATGGTTCCGATAGAACAGAATCACGATCAAGGTTAATCAGAGGGGTTTTCACCCGTCCATTGATTTTTCGTGTCGCTAAAGGCTATGATGGTGACGGTACTTATTTGCATTTATTGTGTTCGATGTTTGCGAAGCTTGTAGCGCGAAAAGACAATCAATCGATTGCTCAATATCTAGCGATTAGATATCGTGATAATTTTTACCAAGCGTATTGCGTTTGTTAGTATACGTATCAATACGCGTACGCGTACTCATACGATTCTGAAATTTAAAAGTATCTTTTTTTTTAAATATAACTGTAAGAATTTGCTTTGACAGCTTTCTTATGGCTATATCGGCAGTTAAAATCCCTTAGTAAGAAAATTTTAAACATAGCATTCATGTCGCATTTGTAGTTTGGCATAGTAATATTTTTTTGTAGAAAGACGCGCTATTGGCATCGATATGAAGTGTTTTTGAAAATTTTCTTGCACAGATCTTTATTCCTTAAGATTTGTGACCATTTTTAATACTTTTCTACTTGCAATCCATCATTTAAGACACAATTGGATCAAGATACATAAAATTCATATTGAAAATTATTCTCAATAAGTAAAACGCAAATGCTTGGTTAAAGTTATACTATTAGATTCCATTCATCACCATTTCTTTGTGTCTATAATCATATATGTCGCATATACCGAAGTCAGCTTTTTTTCAACATTTTTTATTATTTGAGGTTGTTTGTCATACGTATAAAAAATTATAAAAAGAAGTTAGTCACGTGCGAAACATATGATCTTCCAAATTTGAATTCAAAATTTTGTTGTAACGTCAATTAAAAAAAAGGGTGCGTATACTTATGTACGCGCGTAAGAAGTTATACTTCTTTGGCATTATTAAAAATAGTTTTTGATTGTATGCAAATAAAAGGAGTGATTATAGTCAATGTAGTACAGACATTGGAAAAGTGTAAAAAATAAAGATTTATTATTACATTTCAAAAATTAAATGAACATAAATATTTATTATTATTCGAATATTGTTTTTAACATAAATTATTTTATTATTCGAATGTTCATTCTGTTAATTTTGTGTCACGGTGCGCGCGCATCGTAAAATTACACTCTCATTAATTTTTCATCACGCGCCTAAAAAAGTATAACTTCAAAAAGTTGCAACCTTATGAGAGATTTAGTTTTTTGTGATATCAAAACTGCACAAGATAAAATACGTATTGGCTAACTAATCAAGATCCATTTTGAATACCATACTTCATTAATATAGACGAAGTCGCAGGCATTAGTCTTTGTATACTTTTGCGCATTTTACTGAGGTATATGTGAGATTGACATATCGCATTGTTGTGCTTCAAATTTTATAATGTTGCTTCACGTAAGATTACATATCCACTAACATTTTTTTAATTATCAAGAGCACATTCCTCGAACACCTTACAATATAAGTTTTGTATTTATATATTGTATACAGTGGCGCAAAACTCCGCTAGAAAACTTGGTGAAATATGACTTTTTTTCTTGTGACAGCTGTCATCGAGATGTAATTTCGATATTTTGGCTCACAGGCTGAAAATTTTGAATAAGACTAGAGTTTTTGTTTAAGCCTAACCATAAACAACAAAATATTTACGTGCTTTCACAGATAAATTATATTTCATTCTCACAGCTTTTCTAGTGGTTAGGTGCTTCCTAGCACCCAAATTACGTCACTGATTATATATTTTTGCGATATATTATCGTTTTTATACAAAACAAAATGATATCTTCCGTGGCAAACAATAATTTTTATAAATTTGTTTAATCGAAGTATTATAGAATATATTTTATGACAGTGTCACAAGTTCGCATTTAGTTCAGATTACGCAGTATTCGATGTCTACTAACATTTTTTTTGTAAAAATGTACAAATAATGTCCATATTATTTTACCTATTATCCAAAGTTTATTATAAGCTAAGATCTCATACGGAATTTGTAGCGATAAATATAAGTTGTGTAATTAGAATTTTATTTATTTTCTTCGATTTTTATGTAAAGTTGATTTATTGTTTAGCAGGATTTCATTCCAATGTACGATAGTAAGCGTAGTGAATGTATGCAATAGTAGTTGTGGGCTGCCCGAGATTATACAGATATATCATGTGAACTGGGTTTTGTTTATGCATTAAACTGAATAAAGGACAAACCATAACACTTGTTTTATTATTATTATCACCTTTATTGATTACCTTTACAACTCCTGTCATCGATACTACCCCTCAAAAAAGCCAGTGATTACGGAAAACTCACACCCAAAACTCATTCAAGTGCGAGTTGGACTCGGTCACAATCAAATAGACACCCATAAATGAATCATACATCAACAAATATGACGCCTGAAAGATCATATACAGGGAAACTCAAAAGTTTAATTAGTTGATCGATTAAAAAAAATAAGTCGTGTATCAATTAAGTGTTAATTCATTATTAAAGTACACATTTTGGAAATTTATTTCCTGAAAATAAGACCCTCCATATGTAGACCCTCGCGTTCGCGGCACTCATTTAATCGAACAATAAAATTAAAAAGCAAGGGCCGATAATTCTACGACGAAGGGGTCTCTGATGCTTGCGTTTCAGATACGTTGCACTCCAATAGCAGCAATTCTGCTTGTTTACGTGTCCATTAAGTTGAAAATGATCTTATCCGAAAACAAGATGTTGGTAAACGTTGAAAAGCGCTCAGTTACCTGATTTACGAAGTCAAGCCTCTGACAGGCAACTTGGGGCTTTAATTCGTGCACCAATTGAATTTTGTAGGGGTGCTTTAGGTCTTGCGTGAAATGCGGTGTAATGATATGAATAAAATCTATTCACATTTAAAGCACTAGCGTAAATAAAGCATAAATGTAAACTTTCTTTTGAGACACCGGTTATACCACCGCTACAGTTTAGGATTATAGCAACCTCACTTATGGCGGGCATTTCCCCCATGCAAACAACGCTTTTTTGGTTTTTTGTGTAATTTGATGAAATATGATATGTGTTAGTATTTTTCTTAAACCAAAGACAACTAAACTCGCAATAGTTCTAGTTCTTCTTGCACATATTCTGTTTATAACGGTGAGTTCAATCCGGTTTATTTATTATTGTTTTGTCTATGAATATTTCTCGCTCAAAACAATTAATCCGAAGAACTTTCTAATATCGTCGCTATTTTTAGTATATCGTAGGTTGGAAGATTTTATTTATATGTATTTTTAATAGATAATCTGCGGCCAAAATGGCTGTTAACTAAACCGCGTAGTAACGCGTTATATTAGGTAAGAAAACGGAGGGAAAAATGGCGGAGGTATATACTTCCTACTTAATAACAAAAATAAAAAGGTCTATTTCTGTTAAATTGTGTATAGGATGTGTTAAAAGACACAGATTTAGTAAACGGTGCTACCAGTAGGTCAGATTTTTTTATTTGATCATTAAATCTATTTAGTTGGGTTGGACGTATCGAAATACCATTGATGTCCACTATGCCCGTGTATTTCAAATGAGAAGAAATAATATTTTAAAGAATATTTATTTGCAAAACATACAAATGATAAAAACAATTTAATCCAGGGAAATTCTTATCATAACTTATTGAAATATACAATGTCCACAGATTATTTAATAGGAAAATGCAATTATAGTGAAATATATATTTGCAATTATCCAACATAAATAAAGAGCGCTGTGAATTATTCATACATTATACGGAAAAATATTGAAAGGGCCTTTCGCCCTTTGTACTAGAACAAGTTCGCATATCACTGATTTTCGAGAATCACAAATTTATAATTGAATTGATGCTAATTTAGCGTGGCTTTCGTTTAAATATCTGATATTTCGCATAATTAGTAAAATTCTCGAGAAAATCAGCATACAAAATAAAGTGGTAATTTAAGATTTTTTCTTACCAAAATCACGCGAAATCTGGCCAAGTTACACGCTGAGATTAATTATTGTTTGATCGCGTGACGAATTGTCTACTCTTCCGTCATTATTCATCTGTTTATGAATCCAAACTAAAATTAATTTAAGTTACCCACCGGCCACACTTTCATATTAGCTAAGTTATTACGACAAATAAAATTTTAGACAAAAGATACGGGATTCCAAAACGTCAATAGTCTGAAATGACATATCGTTTTGAAAAACGTATTTGGAATCTAATTATTACAGTGAACACTTTATTTTGGTATTAGAAGCGTGATTAAACAGTTTTAATATTTTATACAAATCAAAAACACTTTTCACAATTGCACTGTCAATGTCAATTTTTATAGATGTGACACATGTTCATTTAAAGTGGCAAAACCTTAAAAATGAAAGCCTTTTTAAAAAACATGTACAAATCCAACAACTAGCCTGGGCTATTCCAGATGTTTGGACATCCTTAGCTCTTCTTGACGTTTTGTTACTTAAAAAAATTACAATAAAAATACTCATGTGTTAAATTCTGTGGCTAAATCGTAAAAAAATAATTTAAAAACGTCAGAGGGCGCTTGTTTTAAGACTTTCAAAATATTTACAGACGCGTACCTGCATAACCTGTGTATTATAGACTGTACGCTACAGTTTAACAAATGAAAATAAAATGTGCCTTCATGGCACTATAGATGATTTTGGCTGCAATATATTCAAACAGCCTTCTACATATCAGGTGTACAAGTCTACAAGCACCCAAATACAGTATCTGCACTGACTCGCTAACACTTAGAGTCTCATCATGTGACCTAAATTAATGCTAGATGATTATAAAGGACACCACCAGTATCAATTCCAATTCATATAATGTCACAATCTTGCCATCACTTATGTCAAATTTATATAAATATGGCAATAATTATTCTATTATTGCCATATTTAATTGTTTAGAATATGGAATTGAGGCTAATGCCAATGTAGTCTGCCAAACAGTAAGTTATTAATCTCATATCAAACATAAGGACAATAAAATTATAATATAAACTAGCATGGTTGACACATTCTGTCTGGATAAGTGGCTCTGTTTTAGCTTAACTCTAAGCGCAAGCTATGTAGTGCATGCCAATTCAAATTAACAGTCGAGGAAGTTCGCAGCCATAAGGAGTTCCAGGGCAATCTCTGGTGCAATAGGGAACTCAGGTATCTCTGTTGAAGAGTTTGTGTAGCGCACTTTGTATGTAAAGTACATACATACTTTTTGCAACACATGTGATCTGAAATTGTGACAAGATATATATGGTTGAAAATATTTTATCAATATCATATGGTTAATATAAAATACAGAATACTTTGTGAAATAGAAGTAGAAAAACAATGTTTGTTGAAAAGATATAAATACTTTCAATTCAACAAGTTCTTTTGTACATATTTGTGATCTTTAACAATTAATATGATATCAAAAAGCATCTAATGGTTTCATTATATTCAAAAGAGGGAAGCAAAAGCAGGCTACACAAAGACTTACGGTATTTCTCTAAAGTTTACTTCATTTGCCTCATTCTCAGCAAACTGTCCAGGCCCACTAAGCATGGCCTTGATTGTTCCAGATGTAAGAGCATGCTCCCGTTTTACAATAAACTCATGGCCATCAGATGATACCAATTTTACATACATTGCATCTGGACCCTCACAACCACCATACACTTTTTCTTCTGATGCCACTGTGGATATGACGCAAATTAGTAAAAATACAAGAACTGCTGGGGAAGATTTTTTTAAACAAATATCCTAAGTTAAATATAAATATTCTAAAATTGTTTTGTTATTCTTATTTTGTTTTTAAAGAAAACATTGATATGTTTAAAAAAAATTATTTAAAGGTGAAGTGGAAATAACTTTACCAGAGCCAGAGCCTGCGGCAGCGCTTCCAGAACGCTGTTCTTCAGCAACACTAGTTGCAGATGCGCCGCCTGACGCTGGAGCTGATCCAACATTAGCTTCAGACATTTTGATATTCTGCAACAATGATAAGGACTGCATAATAGAAGGAGGTGTAAGTATTAAGTAACACTACCTAAACTTAAACAATAATAATGTATCGTAATGGTTCAATGACTAATAGAAAATAAAGTAAAAATAGTAATACAAATTTTACGTACCTGTATTATTTATTTGCTGATCCGAAATAGTATGGTGCGTGATAGTTGAGACTTAAAATAAAACTTAAATCGTTAAATTCTTAAAAATGTAAAATAATCTAAATTATCAATTAAGGTTAGAAAATCAGATTCATAGTTGACATCTCGATCATTATTTTTAATTAAGTCGCTGACACATGACAGTGACACTTAAGTAGATGGCATTAGATTGTAGATAAAAAAGGATTTTAGTAACCTTTAAATAGCGGTGAATCATCGCAGTATTAACAGTCTATAGTCAAATATTTTTTGAAACGGTAACATCTGATTATCCTGTCGTCATTCGGCGGATTTTTTTTTCATTTTGACATAGGTAGTGATGGCTCTTGCTTTTTGGCTTTACTCTAATAATCCATTATTTTGACATTTCTTGTCAACCGCTACGTATTTTTGTAAAAAAAATCGAGTTTCCTGGTTTTTCATTCCATTTCTGCTTTCTTCACCTAAAAAGCAGTGAACTGGGTTGAATACAAGGTAGTGTACATTACAAAACAAGGATGCAGTCCAGAAATTCCGCGAGAACCATGTGACACGAATACGAAAAAGGGCTTCCAGATCGTCAATGTGACAGAAATGTTTTCTGCCATCGCGACGGGCCAACGCTATTTGGGAGCCGAAACGACATCGACGCGTGATAAACGAACGGCGATATAGAGAATCGCGTCAAAGATGAGCGCGAGATGGCCAGTCCTCCACCGAACCCAAAAGACGAGGCGGGCGGCTCTAAGTTTACGGAGGAGAAGGCAAGTCATGAGGCCACCGCGCAGAAGAGCTTCATAGCGCCGCCCGCCTCTGAGCTGCCTTCAAAGCTGGTATACGTCGCGCGTGGTGGTAGTGGCCGCAGTGTCAAGCACACGTTCCGCACTGTAAAGGTAGCACGACGAGTGCCAACGCTGCCGCCCAAGAAGATCGAGGCGGCGGGCGGCGATAGCGCCTCAAGCGAGGCTGGTCCTAGCCGCCCGCGCCGCGACAAAAGTAAGCGACACGGCTGCACTATTTGCGAAAAACGATTCTCCAGCCCCGGCAAGCTCAGCCAACACATCCTGTCTCATACTGGTGAGTTACCTTTTTCTTGCGACCTTTGTGATAAGCGCTTCAATTCAAAATTTAAACTGGTTCGCCACAACCTAATACACAGTGAAGCTAGAGCCTTTGCATGTACAGTTTGTGGCAAAACTTTTAATCGCAAAGATCATCTTACAAACCATGTTAGGGTGCACAACCCTGTTAAAAAACTTTATAAATGTGAAAAGCCAGATTGTAGGAAATCATACACATCTCAGCTTAGTTATCGTAAGCATGCAGCTCTTCATTCTGCTGAAGAAGGGAATCTGCAATGTAAGATCTGTGATGAAGTGTTCAGTACCCAACAAGATATTGTGTATCATCTCAAAGTCCACACTGGGAGTCGTACTGTGAAAAGTGAGACAGACAAAAAGTATACTTGTGATCATTGCGATAGAAGATTCTTTACTGCAAAAGATGTTCGTAGGCATAATGTAGTACACACTGGAAGGCGAGATTTCTTATGTCCCTACTGTCCTCAGAAGTTTGGCCGCAAAGATCATTTAGTTAGACATGTAAAAAATGCTCATCCAGAGGAATCATGGAAGTCAGCAGCAGTTGGTACATCTCGGGATCCTCTACCAGATGTGTCTACTTTTGAGGAAACATTCACTGATTATCCAATTCCTGGAACTGAGTTTGAGCTCTGGAAAGCACCTTCACCAAAAGAAGAGGCAGATGGTAGAACAAGTGTGCCTGCCTGTGATATAATTGTTGAAATACCTGAGTTAGATATTAAAGTGGAACCAGAATTAGATATAAAGATAGAGGAGCCACCATCACCTGCAGAAATTCTTGAATATCCTGTAGTTTATGTTGTACCCCCACCATTTTCCCCTACGCCAACGAACTTGCCATTTATAACAACACAGCAGTTGAGTGATGTTGATGTGCATTTTGGTTCTGGTAATGTAGAGTCTCTATTGTTAGACCCAGGGGAAGGACCATCAGGTTTGTCAAGAGAAATGTTAGGTTTACTTGAAGAGAATGAGCCTAGCTATTCTGCTGAAGATAGTAGTAGAAATCAGCAAAGATTGCCAGCTTTTACTCAAGCATTTCAGACTGCTCAAAGTACGAAACCGCCACCCCCACCACCCCCTCCTCATTAGACAGTAACTGACTAGCATTTATAACTGAGCTACCTCACTAGGTAACATTGGAATAGTCTAAATGATTTTAATATTCTCTAAGGGGCAACTGAGTTTTACCCCTTCAGGTATACCAAAATGTTTCCGAACTCTACATGAATATGTTATCTAGTCATGTATGTACTTTCGGAATGTAAATTATTTTTAGTGTACATATTTGACATTTGGGTATAAATGGGACCATCTTTAAGAGCCTCGGAATGAAATAGTTGGAGTAACTATTCATTTGTAAAAGTATTAAGCTGAACAGGATCTGCAAGAAGACATACAGCTCTTGAAAGCAGTGAATTGTATTATATGTTTGAGTGGTTCACTGTTTTCTGCGCGAGAATTATACTGAGAGCATATGTCTTTTAGAATGTTTTAAAAGAAGGTGTCAACAACAGATCTGTCTATAAATGATTGCTGTACCACCATGTTGTGTCCAGAGTAACTGCTTGTCTATCCAGAGAAGGCTTGATTAACCAACTACATATACACAACAAAAAAATATATGTCAGGATAAAATTATGAGTTTATATTATCCATTTTTATAGAAATATTATGTATAGAAAATGATTGCAATTTCAGTATACAGTATCTGGTTAATCAATTCTTTATTGTAGCTTTAATAATGAAAACCGTTAGTTTTGTTCAATACTGCTGAAGTCTGAACCCTATATCATACCTCAGAGGCATTCGCTTCCTTAACTACACAGCTTTATTGGTCTGAAATGTTTCAATTTAAAAGTAATGTGCCAAAACTCACGTGTATTTGTAATTTTACATTAAGCAATATTTTGTGTGGCCTTACAGAACTATTGAATTTCTCTTTATAAAGAAAGTGTTCATTATTAATTTGTTTAAGACATTGGCATGATTTATCTATATTGTACCAAAATATTAGTTAGGAAAATCTTATTGATGAGAACTGTCTCTTTTATCTGTAACATTGAAAGAGTACAAAGCATTTAAATAGGTGCCTTGCATTCATTGAAAAATATTTTAAAAAATTGTTTAAAAACTTATTGTACTTTTTAATTTTAGTTGTGCTAAATTTTATTTTTTTATTTAGGAATATCCAAGTACAACAGTTCAGATGGAACAAAATTTTATTTTTTAATGTTAATCTTATGAGAACTACACAGTTTCAGTAATGTATGGCTTCTAATGAAAGATCGAATGTTGTACACGCTTTATTATTGAATATGTAAATAATTCTAATTGTTTAGGTTAATAGGACTGTAAAAAATTAAATCTACCTCAATTGCAACTTATTCTTACGTTAAGTTTATTAATACTTAGGTTAGTGAGAAAAGAATTTTTCTATGAGAAATACATGCAAAGGGCTGGTTGGCATATGTTTTGTGTTTATATTAGTGTGTGTTGAAAAATTGTTATACTTTAAGTATATATCGCTTCGTATATTAATTAAGAATAGCTGTCGTTTTATATTTGATAAAAAGAACAATACATATCCCGTTCAGAAGGGGATTAAAAAAAATGATCATAACAATTTAAAAAAATCATCTTCATCTACATATAAAATCATGTATGCATATATAGAATATAGATCAAGAATCTTCATACAATAGCTATAGTGAAAGAAACAAGGTTTTTTACTTATATGATAGACTTTTAATTTAATTTTGACCACCAGTCTTCAAGCCCGTTCACTAGTCAATACACATAAACTATTTTTAACAGTGGAATTGTATTTCACAAGTATTTACAAATAAAAACCGATTACAATTTTCCTCCTATTCGTATGTGTTCCAGAAAGTAAAAGTTGCATTTTTTTAATGCATAATGGCGTTATTTCTTTTTATAGACACGAGTAGCGAAATTTATTGAATTTAACAAATGTTTAAAAAAAGTTATCGCCGCCAATTTCGTAGTAAAAGCCGCCGTCTCTATATACATATGATTTCAAGCTATTATAAATGTTAATTTATTACCTAAAATGTAATAAATAGTATTTAAAATGTAAGTATCCACTTATTGTTTAGTTGCACTAAAAGTGTTCATTATTCCCCTATTCAAGTTTATTATGCATAATTTTGTTATATTATTTTTTCCAGTTTTTTTATGACTTGAGTGTAACTCGATTTTATATTATATATTTTCTAAAACATGTTGTGCAAAGCCAAATAATGATTTAATTTTATTTTTGTTTACAAATAAGTGTTCGAATATTTTATTTATGTAAAATACGTAAGATTATATGCAACGAATGTGCTACGAGCAATGAAAATTTAAGCCGTGAAGTAAAGTGAAAATTATGTATCGGGATATTCAAAGAATCTTATTTTTTAACTCGTAGTAGGATGTATAATCCATAGGTATACGTAACTTGGTACATAATAGGGGCCTTATTAAATTAGTTGGACGTAGAGTGTATACAAAAAATATTTTTTAGATTTCTACAAGATTTTTTAATAAAGTGATCTATTTTTGTTACGCTTTTTCGAGTAATAAGGCATTTTTATCGAACATTTAAAATAACGTTTAAAATTTGTACAAGATTCTGTCTACGAAGTTAGATACAGTTTTAGAGGTATTTATAGAAAATATCTTGATGCATTTATCGCAAAAATGTAGTGACTGCACCGCTAAAATTGTATTTAAGTTCAATGAATGAAAATAAAAATGATAATGATTTGAATCATGTGAAACCAGTTTTCCTTTAATTCATGTAAAACAGTATGTAACATGATAATAGTTTGCCAGTCCGCAAGAATGAATTCATTGATAACTGGAATTTATTCGAGTTTTTTATGAGTCTGTTAACTTAGTGTGAGACGCCGGGGCGCTTTGCGACATAAAACCTTTTTTTATTTTCTGTACTTTAAAATGTATCGTATATTTTTTTTCAACAAAGTTCTAAATTTTAAACTATTTCTGTTTGCCCCCGGTTTAGTCATTGTATTCTTGGGGACTGTTTCATTAATCTAACAATTATTGTTATAAATGAGAATTGTACCTGGTAAAATAATAATTGTATAGCATTTTCATTGAAATAAATTTTGGACATCACATTTTGTTTAATTTACCTATAGATAAGCGTGGACCGAATCAATGACGTAGTTTTTTTATAATCAGGCCATTGAACCCGTAGTTTATTTGATATTAACAAAAACTGTTTTTGCATATCATATAGTATGCTGCCCGCGACTTATGGAATTAGGGCTCTCTTTCACGATTCCACGATTAATTTTCGCACTCTTTCGTATTTATCAATACGAGTACCACTGCAGCTAGGAATCCATTCGGAACCGGCTGCTGAGTCATCACTAGAGCAGAATAGGAAATTCCACCCGTAACGCCTCTACTAACGTCGTTCCACAATTGATCGTTTTAATGGCACTTTTTGCAGCACTACGTGAAACCATCTGCCCATTGGCCTATTTTGAACCAATACGTCTTAGGACCCTCTAAGAAGAGAGCTTATCAATTGTTAAGGCCGGCAACGTACTTGCGAACCTTCTAGCAGCGATAGTGTCCATGGGCGGCAGTATCACTTGACATCAGGTCATCCTGCCCATTTTCCCCCAAAAATTTAATAAATTGGAGAACCTTTCCCGCGTAATAATAAATGAGTTAGTAGGCGCAATGTTGATCCCTTGATTGTGCGGATTTTTATAATTCATCTATAAATTTTTAAAGGCAAGGTGCCTTTATTGCGGGGGCCTGTATTTTGACCATAAGTTTGACAACAAGTAATAGTCGTTCAGTACACGTGCGGAACCGTCATTGCAATGACAGGCTTTCCACGCTCGTAATGAAATGTACTATTACCCAGTACTCCAGAAAAGTATTTTCAGCGGTGAAATAAGGCTATATTATTGGTTTAAATTTGTCCAGGTATTCTGGTTATATAGACAGAAATCTCGACATTACTATTGATCTTTTGTACTGAATATAGGTAGCGCTGATAGCAAAGTTAGACGCAACCAACTCTGATACCCTGACATCTTAAGCCTGTATTAGACCCTATTGGTTGACTTACCTATCTTATATGCGTTTATGGTGTGGGAGTCTAGACCATAAGTTTGACAACAATTATAATTAACTGTTCTTAGTATTATGACATTTGCATGCCTATTTTTATAATCTGAATATACGACTTTATTTGCAAATAAACGATTTATTATTGTCAAGTTCATTCAGGACATATATACAGAAATCTGTTACAGAATTGATTAATTTTGTTTTAATATTTCACAAAATATTTACTTTCACCTCAATTCTCCATTAACAATAAAATATTTAAATTTGTGTTATTTTGTTTCGATAATGCTTCAAGTTGATTGTTTATAGATACGTCATCTAATATATAAAATTTTCGTGTCACACTGTTCGTTCCCCTACTCCTCCGAAACGGATCGACCGATTCTTATGAAATGTTTTTATACATAGTAAGTCAGAGAATCGGCTACTACCTATCTTTTAAACCCCTGAATGTTAAGGGTGGTCCACTCCAAAAAAATTATTTTTAGATATTTTTATGATATTAAAATACATACAACCCTTAATTTTCACCCCTATTTTTTATTTGTTAATTTAAATCTTATGGCTTGAACTCTGAGGTTTATATACCTAGAGAAAAATTCACAGAAAAACCTAAAAGTTTTCATTCCGGAAAAACGAACAGTCTCGGGGTAGCATAGCAAAATGTTCCATGTTAATGTTGGTATGAACTAAAAAGGTAGGCTAAGTAAAATCACATTAAGGAGAAACGAAGTTCACGGGGGCAGCTAGTAAGTATATAAAATCTGTATTAAAAGTGTAATTTACACTAACTGAAATGAAATATAACATAGTTGAAATATATTTTATTGGTGATCAATCCATTAACAAATAACACATAGACTTAGAACCATAGATAACAAAATAAATACCTTAACCACGGTACATTGTGTCAAAAGAAATGCAAGTAACATGAAATTTTATACATTTATTAAAATATACACGTTCGATTATATAAACATTTTAGATACCTAATTTCATTTCTATTTGAATTTGAACTAAAATTGTACTAAAAATACTAAAAAACTCTCTACAATGTAGACAGTTTATAGATAGGAACGCGGCTGAGTTTGTTAGTTATAAAAGTTAGTATAAAAAGATTTTTTTTTTAAATTATTTTTGTCTGGAGAAACAATAGAGCATAGAGTTGAAATGTGTAAATAAAGCAAAATTAGAGATTTTTTTTAAATTTCGAGTTGTAGAACTTACCCTCCATATAAATTTTGTTAACTACCCTCTTAATTTAAATTCAGTCGCGTTCCGTATAGAAAAGATTCCCGTTTGATAAATGCACGCCCCGCTCACCGAGAATAAACTAGAATGTACAAACACTAGGGTTGTCAAAAGTCAAAGTAGGTAACTATAAAAATTATATCATAATCCGCGAATGAACACAAGCTTTTTAAAATATGAATTTTTGTGAAGAAATAAAAGTATTTACACATGTACATTTATTGACGTTGGCAACCCTAGCGGTAAGGAATGTCCTTTACGTAAATAAAAAAAAACATGTCAGTTTGAGAATCCCTCGTACTATTTTCTAGAATCATCTATTTCCATGTAACATATAGATTTATTCATCCCAATACTATTAATTATTGTTTTTTAACTTTATTTTTTTATTATAAGTTCAACACAGCTTGCTAATACAATTATAGGAATTCGTATGTATACATCTTTTTAGCTACATACCCTCAAAAATAGATTGAAAAAAAAAATTGCTCCAAATGATAGAATGGAACCTTTTTAATTTAAAATGTGTTTTAAATATATGGAAAATTAAATAAAAATTCGAATATTGCAATACAATCAATACGTTGGAAATTAAAAACGGAAAACTGATAAAAATTTAAGACGTAAAAAATCCCGGACATTTAGAATAAATTATAAGACAATTATATAGTATTATTTCCAAGTTTTAGGCTGAAAATTTAGTACCAGTCATTAATGTCTGCTAAAATTACTCCGCCGCACTCTTCGTTTATTCTTCCTAACTTTACCCTTCTTTAGATTTGGTAATTCCGAGTCGGTTTTATATAAATTCGTGTCCGAATCGAGGCCATTTTGAATATCCGAATCGAAACCATTTTCCTGGCAATGTTCGTCATATTTTCGTATATTTTGAAGCGATTGATTCTTCTGCACGCTATGTATGTTTGTATCCGAGGTGCAGTACTCTTCCCGGTCCGATTCCGAGTATTTTATTGGTAAATTTTCTTCTGGCACTTTTAGCCGGATTTCCGGTCCTCCCCCATAAATGTCTATGAAAAATCGCCACAAATCTTCACTGAGCTGCGCGTGATCCGAGCCTTGCTTTAACGTATATTTCGTTGTGCCGTCTAACTCCTGAAAAAAAATAATTTATTGATTTAGAAGAAATTACTATTTAGTGTTAGTGTCTAACATTTGCTCGAACGGTGGAAAACATCGTGAGGAAACCGACATGTCCTTAGACCCAATACGTCGACGGCGTGTGTCAGGCACTGGAGGCTAATCACCTACTTGCCGCCTATTAGATTTAAAAATGATCATGAAACCGATTCAGATATCTGAGGCCTAGACCTAAAAAGGTTGTTGCGCCACTGATTTATTTAGTATTAGTGCATGTTAGTCTGCAGTGCTAAACAGTGGTAAGTGGAAAAAATAGTACACGTACAAGAACATAGTGTCTACGTAATCGTCACGCAATTTTTGGAGATTATTGAGCCCCCCCCCATGTAACGCGCCGTAACGTTTTTCTGTACCTAATAATAAAACGTTTCGTGACCACCCAGTGACTCCAAAGTTACCATTATGTGGTGTAAAGTACTGGAAAGTCGAAAATAATATTAACAATAACGCGTAATTCAATCTCCGCCCCGCATCGTAACGTTTTACCCCTCTCCCAAAATTAGTTACGGAATACTTAAACGCTCCCTTATAGAGACTATAAGTAGTGTTATTGGACACTTTCTTATGTTACATATCTTTTTACTAAATTAGGTTAAACTTAAATCACCTATTAGGCTAGATCGTAAATGTCTTTAATATATAAAAAATATATTTCCTCACCTGTTTGTGAAGTATGGGCGTGTTATCGACGGGCGGGGGCGGCCGCCGCGTCTTGTTCCTCACGAAGGCCTGCCATTGGCGGAACCACGACATGCTTATCGCGTAAATGGCGCGGGGCTGCTCTTGCTCCTGGAAGGTGTTCATTTTTAATTATTTATTGACTTATTATAATTAAAATAATTTTTACATAATCTCATTCGGTAATATTCTAATTATGAAATGAAATACAGACTTTTAAATAAAAATACTTCTTTAAGAAAATTAAATTAAACCATTATTCTCCTAACAAAACAATGCTTTAAAACAATTTTTTTAATTATTAAAGTACAATGTGTCCCGACCAAGGAGGTTTCAATTCAATTTAAGTACACATTATCTGTGGAGAGCGCTGGTTCCGAGCCAATAGACCAATAACAGACTTTTGTTTCTTTTATATTGCATTTTATTTAATGTAGCTACCTATAACCATGAGATTAAATAAAGTAGTGTATGCAACTGCATATAATTAGGTATTAAAACACTCGTGTAATCTTATTTTGAAAGTACACTCATGTTTTAATACCCTCTATTATATGACAGTTGCATAAACTACTATTTTCATACATGGTGGAAACATGAAATGGACAGTTTTTCTGTCGAACACGTCAAACATATTTAAAATTTACATACATAAGACCAATTATATATCACAGCCTTAATAAAAAAAAAAAAAAACACCCACCCCACCCCCCCCGGGGGGGGGGGGGGGGGGGAAACAAAAAAAAAAAAAAAAAAAAAAAAAAAAAAAAAAAAACCCACAAAAAAAAAAAAAAAAAAAAAAAAAAAAAAAAAAAAAAAAAAAAAAAAAAAAAAAAAAAAAATTTGGGGCCCCCCCCCCCCCCCCCCCCCCAACCCAAAAAAAAAAAAAACCACACAAAAAAAAAAAAAAAAAAAAAAAAAAAAAAAAAAAAAAAAAAAAAAAAGAAAAAAATTGGAAAGCCCAAAAAAAAAAAAAAAAAAAAAAAAAAAGAAAAAAAAAAAAAAAAAAAAAAAAAAAAAAAAAAAAAAAAGGAGAAAAAAAAAAAAAAAAAAAAAAAAAAAAAAAAAAAAAAAAAAAAAAAAAAAAAATTTTTTTGAAAAAAAAAAAAAAAAAAGAAAAAAAAAATTTTTTTTTTAAAAAAAAATTTTTTTCTTCCTATAAAAAAAAACTTTTTTAGGAAAAAAATAAAAAAACCCCGAGTGTGAATAGAGTTAACGAACGCAGCCACCTACCTTAATAATAAGGCCGCTAGGTAAACGACGCTGTTTAGTTAAGAGGCTAGGCTGTTGATTGAAAGTCTTATTAAGCTAGTTGGCTGCGACATATATAACATAAAATATAAGTAAACAAATTAAGTATCAAGTCTATTTTGAAATTAAATTTTCAAAATGTCAAGCATTAAGAAAAATATTACTTAAGATATTAATGATTATGCAATAATGAATTATGAACGTATATATCGCAATTAATACCTGAAACAGCGCATGTAGATCTCCAAAGGCCGTGAGTTCAGCCTCTCTCCGAGCTCTCAACTTGTGCTGCGCACGCGCACACGCCCCGCACTCGTGCGCGTGAGTCACCGCCGGACCACCGCCAAAACTATATATGTGCATTTAAATTATTATAAATAAGGATATATTCAAATATTATAAATAAATTAAGAATATTTTTCTAATTTTTGTCAATTTGTTTCCAACTATTATAAAAAAATACAAACATTTCGTTTTATTTAGTGAAATCCTCTCATCAAATTAAGATTTAATGATTAGTTTTTAACTTCAGGGCGCTAGCATTTTCGCCCATGGGCACTGCCAGACAATCGCTAGTGCTTCACCTGATTATAAAGCATCAGTACGATCTTACTTCATTAATACTTCACTATTACTAAAATAATAAAAAGTGAATATTATTCTTACAAAAATTTTGGGAAGTCTAGATTTTCAAGCTGTCATAAACTTATATATGACCAAAACTGAATACAAAGTATTTTTATATATAACATGGGCAAACAGGCAGCAGGCTCTCCTGATGTTAAGTAATAAGTGTCCATGAACAGTTCTCCAGAAGGATCGCAAGTGCGTGGTAATTAATTAAAAATTTGCTACGTTTGAAGGAACTTAAATCACATTAGTACGGAAATACTTCTTACAAACGTTTTGTAAAACAAAAAACTTGGCGATTTAAAAGAGTGGCGGAGAGTTTATTGGCAGTTCTTCTCTTCCGTTCTACGCCCTTGACTTGAGAACTGGCAGTAAATGTAAAATTAGAAGCATTACATATATGTATATTTATTTTTTAACGTTCATAAGTGTACATTTTGTTACCTATATGAATAAATGATTTTTGAATTTGAGTTCCACAATAGAACCATAGACAAGAATAGTGAACACTAACTGAGTGTGCAGGAACTCCCACAAGGGCTGGGGCAGTTTGGCGGCGAGTGCGGCCAAATGAGGCGCTCGTTCCACCCTCACTCCGCCGTGGACGCACACGAAGTCGCTGTTGTCTATGGGCCCTGGCTCCGCCCACGTGTTGAACCTGCGTTTAATCACATTAATGGGAATTTATAACAAAGAACTTTTTTTTTAAACCAGTGTAATTACAACCTATTTAAGTCTGGACCTCAGATTTCTGTATCTGTTTCACGATCATTTGCCAATCTAATAGGTAAACAATTTTTGTTTCATTTTGTAAATATTGTTTAGTAGGTTCTTAGTTAATTTTTTTTAGAGTTAATTTGTTATTGGATTCTTTTTGATTTAGGGTCACCTGTTTGGACAAGATTGTTTTTTGTGCATAAATCGATAAAAAAAATGTTAAAGGATAAACAAATGTAGGAAATAAACTTTTATAAATACAGAGTGTTTTACAAGGTCTAATAAGACCTTTGTTTGATTAGATGTAACACTAAGACTACTTTTTTATTTAAAAATAAGTTTTAAACATGTACCATGTACCACGGAACAAATGTAATCTGTTCACCCACAAGACAGGGACTCCTTGGTGTGGAGACTAGCGAACCATATTTCTGTTATTATTATTATAAAGGGACTATTCAAAAGCTTGGAGCAAGCATATTCGTCCTGGTAACTTGGTGTATATGGGGAACTTCTAACAGACATTTTAAATTTGCCAAAGAAAATCCAGAAATAAATCTTACTTATTAATCCATTGCCTAGAAATATAAAATTTAATATCGTTGGGTTCATTGCTAGCAGCCTCGAGGATCTCCGCTGCTTTCTGACGCAAAATCGCCATTTGGGGGTTCACTTTCCTGAAATTATTTTAAATTATATGCACAGGCCTTAAATGTACAGAAAAAAAACTAATTATAAATCTAAACCACACAATTTCATGAAAATCGGTCCAGCTGTTTAGGAGTTTAATTACAAACACACGCATAGAAGATATATACATGTATTTCTATAATAAAAATCAAAATAAAATTTTATAATAACGTAAGTGTACATAAGTATATTATTTCTAGGAAACATTTTTTTAGTTCAATAAAAATAACTATAAAAAATAGGGGTTGATCGTAGAGGGGTGACAATTAGGGGTTGTATGTATTTTTGTATACTGTACCATAAAAAAATAAAAACAAAAAAAAATTGTCTAAAAAATAAATAACAGATTTTTGGAGTGGACACCTCTTAACACTTAGGTGTTTGAATGAGGGTCGAGCCGTTTAGGAGGAGTATGGGAACGAACATTGTGACACGGGAATTTTATATAATATATATAGATATATAAATAAAAACAGCCGTAAAAACCATTTTTTTTAATTGAATATAATAAAAGTCCACCAATAAATTGAATTAAAAGAATAAATCTTACCTATAAAACAGCACATAGGCCTCACAAGTGGCCAAATGCTGCAAGGGCACGGGCGTTATCGTGGCGTCGTCGAACGCGTACCAATTGTCGTCCGTGTTCGTGTTCGTCCGCGCTATGCACGTGTAATGCCCCCCTCCCGCCGTCCCCGCGTGGCATATAACCGCGCACAGGGCGTATCTGTTTATTTTTGAGGTGCATTCTGGAAACAAATAGAACATTTTAATTAGAAAATAGTTTTTTATTAATCTTGTATGGAAAGGACTTAAGATATAATTCCGTTATGTCAAAAATGGATTTTGAAATGGGAGTATTTTTGCGCTAAATGTCAAAAATGGATTTTGACATGAGAGTATTTTTGCGCTAAATGTCAAAAATGGATTTTGAAATGGCAGTATTTTTTCGCTAAATGTCAAAAATGGATTTTGACATGAGAGTATTTTTGCGCTAAATGTCAAAAATAGATTTTGACATGGCAGTATTTTTCGCTAAATGTCAAAAATGACATTTTGTACCCGGGGGGGTTTTTTTTGCGCTAAATGTCAAAAATAGATTTTGACATGGGAGTATTTTTGCGCTAAATGTCATGTCAGTTATGAATACGCTTTGTGTGAGATACAGACAGACAAACAAAACAGACATAGAATTGTGTCTGTTTTTGGTTTGACTTCAAAACAAATCAACAAACAAAAGTTCAATAATGTGAATGACTGACTAAATGAATTTTATTATTTATGACTGACGCTACATCCTTTTAAGGTCTGGGCCTCCTGTGCCTGACACACGCCGTCGACTTTTTGAGTCTAAGGCAAGATGGTTTCCGCATGATTTTTTTCTTCACCATAAGAACGAATGCTAAATGCAAACATAGAAAGTTCATGGAGCACAGCTAGGAATCGAACCTCGATGAGAGTGGCACGCTGAAGCCACTAGGCCAACACTACTCTAATATTTATTACATACAGTAAAAACACACAATTATTGTTAATAGACTAATTTTATTACCCATTGGACTAATCCAAAGATTTATACATTTTAATTTGGTCACTGGTTTCCGTCACTTTCTCTCACACACAAAAAGAAAGAGAAAAACAATATTAAGAATTTTGTATTACCTTTATGCGTATACGGCGCCATATTGAGGTCGTTAATAGGAAAGGAGACCCTCGCAGCAACTTTAGCGCTAAACATAAGTTCATGCCGGAAGCGTTTCAAATGCACGCACAGTACTTCCGGTAACTTCATCACACCTGACATTTTGATGCCATTGCGCAATTTATTGCATCGGGAACAACTGAAATTTACAAATATTTAAGTATTGAAGTAAGGGAGCGTTCAAGTATTACGTAACGAATTTTAGGGGGAGGGGGTCCTTTTGTAAAACGTTACGATGCGGGGCGGGGATTGAATTACGCGTTATTTTTAATATTATTTTCGACTTTCCAGTACTTTACACCACATAATGGTAACTTTTAGGTATAAAGAGTCACTGGGTGGTCATGAAACGTTTTACTATACTTGGGTACAGAAAAACGTTACGGCGCGTTACATGGGGGGAGGGGGTTGTCAATAATCTCCAAAAATTGCGTGACGTAATACTTGAACGCTTCCTAACTTCTTTTGTAAATCTTTTAGTTTTTTTTCTTTAATTACGTCATTAAAAATCGAGTTGAGCATGACGTAATGACTCGAGCGGTAACGCAAGTTCGGCATTGTACGTCGAAATCAAACAACGTATCCGGCGAGGGAAAGTAGAGAAGTAAAGAAAGCGAGAGTAAATTGAAAAATTACTTTTATATGCATTTGTCGCGTTCCTAAGCAAGACTGCTTTGATTTCAATAATACAAAAAGATAGTGGTTTTTAAATGTAACATAATATTTAGCTTATATTATTCTGTTAAATAAATAAATAAAAATGTTTAGTTTTCTTAGGGGTTTATAAATATACATGAGTCAGGTGAGTCTAATTTCTATTTAATATTTAGTATTAAAAGCTGTTAAACCACAAATTTATTTAAATTGGCCAAGCGTTTATAAAGTAAATTATAAAAAGTAAAAAAAATCCCGAAAATTCCGTCCTTAATAAAACAGCCGTAATGATAAGAAAAGGGCACTACAGAAGATGAGAAGACTTTATAAAACTGGTAGCAAGGTTTGGTTAAAAGTGGGGCGAGAAAAGACATATTGGAACTTGGAAGGGTTTAGATTGTTTTTTTTTTTAATTAATTTTATATAGAAAAGGAATGGATCCGAAAAACATCTTATTTTTAATATTAATTCAATTTTTATTTAAATCATCATCTTCAGTATAACCCACATATGCGTCATAAAACGTGAACTAAATATTGTTCTTTGTTACTATGGTTACAAAGTAAACACGGTTCGTTCAGGCTATGCTTACCTGTACATATTATCGCCTTTCAACTCGTCAGCACTAAAGAAGGCAGCGAGACAGTCCTGCAGCGACACCATCGGACCATAGAACCACGACCGAAGCCAGCTGACTAGCCACCATAGCTGAAATAAATAGAAAAACAATATATTTAGATAAGTTAAAGATAAAATTTTACGTAATTATTATCTTTGGGTTGAATTACGCCTGGTATATTATCCCGGGCGTAATTCGTGTGGTCATATTTTATGGACGAAAGATTTCGCGTCTTGTGACGCATACGTGTCTAGGGTAAGATTGAGTAACGTGACATGGAACGTTAATTAGGACTCACTCTCACTCACTCATAGGACCTCAATTATGTATTCGATTTTGACATATTATACAGGAGCCATAGTTCGTGCTAGACCTCTTGCCAAACGTGTCTATTATTTTTGATAGGAATACTCGAAAATGCATTTCGTTTTCAAGCATAGACCCCCCTCCCCCTATAGTGCTTACGTAATACTTGAACGACCTCACTAAAGACTATCCTGTCAATATATTTTTGAAGTTATACTTCTTTAGGCGCGTTATGAAAAAATTGATGAGAGGAAATTTTACGATGCGCGACTGTGACACAAAATTGGGAGTGTGATTATAGCGTGCGCGAGCGAGATAGGAAAAGACAATCTACAAGTAAAAAGAAATAGAATATGCGTGAAGTTCGTGCCAAGAATTTTGAATGACCATAATGACATTTGTCATTTACCTTTTAAACAAATAAAGGAGTTTTGATTAATTGTTCAAAGAAATTTATTAATTTTATATTGTGCAATACTGCCAAAGCTACAACATACTTCTTAGTGTTTGGTAGAGATGTTCTAAATATATAATTATATATACTTTTAACTAAATAGAATTTATGTTACACTTAATGTAAGAGAATAATAATAAATAATTATTTATTTAATTTTTCAAATGTAAACTGAACTTAATTGACTATAATGACTCCTTTTCCAGTCTTTGATTATTTAATTGTAATTAATTATTTGCATGCAATCAAAAACTATTATTAATAATGCCAAAGAAGTATAACTTCTTACGCGCGTACATAAGTACACGCACCCTTTTTTTATTAAATATGTAGCTTTGAAAAAAATTTAAATTCAATAAAATAATTGAATTTATATTTATAATTTTCCATTTCTAATATAGGAGTCGGATTTCTCCAGACGCTTAAAATTCCGGATCGAAGGACCATAAAATAAGCGTCGGCAGTAATAAAACCCAAGCTACGTACTGCCTGCGTTAAGCGTTAATTATTAAAAAATAATTATTTTGATTATAAAAATACATTTTTTTTGAAATAAAACACAAAAATGAATATTGTTTTGCTTTGACTACTCACCCAAGACTCCTGAGAGACGTGTGGATGGTTGAGAATCGGCTGCTGACATCTTAGCACGGCCAAATGCTCCCGCGAAGGTATTGGTAGAGATAAATCTTGGAATGTTTCCACGCGAGTCGATACCTGCGACAATTTAGTAAACTTAAAAAATCAAGACCATAATTAAATGTGAACAATGTTTGCTTTGGTACCCTATATCAATAATTATTAATTAAATATTTCCATACATTGTGTCATGTGTGCTAATCGTTTATACTCACCCTATTGCATATAAGGCACTGCACAGACGAGAGCAGCTTCCCATCGAAAACGTCAGACACGATACTGCGGTATCGCACTCCGCGAGTCCCATCCCCGCTCCCACCTGCGCAGACGCTGCCACTGGATTTGCTGGAAATTATTAGGATAATAGATTGTAGAGTGGCGAAGTGTCAAACTTACGTCAGCACATTTTTTACGTAGGAGAGTCGATCGTTATCGTATTTTAAAATTTCAGCAGTATAGTTTACACATACAGCACACACCACATACACACCGTCACACTCACACCATAACACAGCACAGCCAAATTAGGTATTACGTATTTAATTTTTTATTCAAATGAATCAATGTCATAATCTTATGGGGGGGGGGGGGGGGGGGGGGGGGGGGGGGGGGGGGGGGGGGGGGCCCCCCCCCCACCAACAAAAAAAAAAAAAACCCCCCCCCCAAAAAAAAAAGAAAACCCCCCCCCCCCCCCAACCAACCCACAAAAAAAAAACCCCCCCGCCCCCGGGGGGCCCCCGGGGGGGGGGGCCCCCCCCGCGGCACCCAAAACACCCACACCAACGCCCCCCCCCCCTTTTCTTGTTTTCCTTCTCCTTGTTGGGGGGGGGGGCCGCCCTCCCCCCCCCCCCCGCGCGGGGGGGGGGGGGGGGGGGGGGGGGGTGGGGGTTTTTTTGGGGGGTGGGGGGGGCGGGGGGGTGGGTGGTATAAAAAAAAAAAAAAATTTTTTTTTTTTTTTTTTTTTTTTTTAAAAATTTTTAAAAAAATTTTTTTTAAACCAAAATTTTTTATCCCCACCCCCCCAAAGGGGGGGGGGAAAAAACCACCCCTCTTTTTTTTTTTTTTTTTAAAAAAAAAAGCGGGCCGCGGCGGGGGGGGGGCCCCCCCCCCCCGGGGGGGGGGGGGGGGGCCCCGGGGGGGGGCGGGCCCCCGGGGCCCCCCTCTTACCCCCCCCCCCCCCCCCCAAATTGTTCCGGCCCCCACCCGCAAAAAAAATTTTTTTGAAGGGGGGGGGAATTTAGTGGCCAACAGTGCAGCCATCAATTGCAGCAAAACATGGCCCGTTTAGACGCGCCATTAATAACATACAAAAAAGTATTGTATTTTTTATTGTTGATGTGTTTGTTCGCCTCCATAAATTTAAGATATATGTAATATTATGTATAAGGTATAAACATTTCTCTGTCTGTTGTTATGGTTTCGTTTCGTTATTTGTATTCATTGTATTTTTAACTCTGGTTTAAAAGGAATTTAAAGGTGTGTAACCCTTCAGGCACCAGACACCCCTTAGTGGTTTTTGGCCTTTTTTATTAATAAAAAAAACACTGCATTTTTCTCTCATAACTTCAGTCACCTTTTGGCAAAAATTTTTAACGAAAAGATCTCCATATTTCCTAGAATATTCATCATTGAAGCATCAACTTTCATTTTTATATGTTCGCAGAGTAAATTCACAGTAGCGATATTGTGTATATCACATATTTAATATTATATTTATTTTTCGACATTATCGTATTAGCTTAGTATGTATATTTGTTATAAATAAACAAGTTCTGTATGTACCTGCGTGCCCTGGTTTCCACAATATCGCTGGCCCCACTCGAGCATGTCTCATACCTTTCTTCAGCTTCACTCGAACAAGACAACTCCGATTCAGAACCCAGATCCCTCGAATGTATATCTTTTGTTGGACCTGAATTAGATAGACTTTTATTAACTTTCAAATTGTTGAATTGCAATGTATTAATATTTCTAAATAAAAAATAAAATAAAATAAAATATGTTTATTATGGAACATAAGATACATGTATCACTTATTCCACGTCATTAAATTTGAAGGCATCCCTACTCATCGGCAAAGAAGACAGAGGGTGTAGGCCGAGAGAAAAAAGCCGGCGTAAAAAACTCTCGGTACTCTTTTAAAAACAGCAAATCATCAAACAACACTTATTTAAAACAAATATCGCAAATTGATTAGAAGTAGCCTGTCTAGCACTAGTCCCAGGCCCTTTTATCAACTAGATAATCGTTGACTTTATAGTAAGCCTTTTTACACAAAAGTCTATCTAGTCTAGTCTATTTTAAAAATGAACGTTTGACCACAATTTTCACAGAAAGTAAAAGACTACACTGGCTACTACACTAGTAGTAAATAGTCAAAATTCATCAAAATCGGTTTAGTTCTTTTTTAAATATAATATGTAGGCACTTCTTTATTTACACTTCGTTGAAGTAATACAGAAAAGCAGTATGCAGTATTAAGGTAGGTAATACGTAAATTTATAAGTTTAAAATGAGTTTTTAATAAATTGAATATGTACAAGCTGCACTGAGCTGGACACTTCGTTGCAAAAATTTGTAATGAGGAGGGCAACGGCCTTATCGCTAGCGATCTCTTCCAGGCAAATGTAAGGAAACATACAATATTGTTATTTTTCTTCCTTTAGCCGTTATATTTAATAATACTGCATTTTGGCGGGTGTATTATAAATTTTAAAAGATTAGTTAAAAACTGATTTGGGATTATTTCGGTGTTGGACAAAGTGACAGGAACTATATATATATATACCCGTTAAGGGCCCACAATCCACCAAAACAATATACCATATATGACACAGCTATTATATTGATTAGTACCAAGGTTTGCCTGACATATAGGATTATGCGATAAGACCATGTATTGTGGAAAAATATCGCTCGCATAACGCTCTTGTATGATCATATAATATAAAATTTATTTATTAAAATTCACCACATCATACATAATACTGTATCTACAGTATATGTTGCAAGCTATCTTTTCTAAAATACATGATAATTATGGTAAACATAAATGTTACAAAAATTAAAATACCAGTGATTTTTTGCTTATTGTTAAGCAACAAAATCTCCAGCAAAATTGATCAGCTGTCTATCGAATATGTCAAGCTCTGGATAAGAAGTGTTTATTCTTTTATATTCGTGAAGAATACGAATGAGAGGTGTCTGAACACCTAGCTGGGTTTTTGCAGACGGAATTCTGCTCATTTTGAACCTTGGGAATAAATAAGGGACGACAATTTTCTCTAAGAGGTGACTGTTGTTTATTTGATCATTTAACAATTTATATAAGAACGTTGCACTGGCAAGAGTGGCGGAAAGTTTCTTGCCAGTTCTTCTTGCCTGCTCTACGCCCTTAACTAAATTTAGAATTAATTTAACTTCATTTCTGACGTTCATAAGTGTACTTGTTTACCTATATGAATGAAGTTATTTTGAGTTTGAGAGATCTGCGCCCGTACAGTGACATAATTTTAAATTTCCTAAGTAAAAGTTATTAATAATATTATAAAACATACCATTTATCTGTTGCGTATGTACATTGTATGTGAAGTGCTGTGTACCACCAAAACTCGCTGATCGTCGGTGACGGGATGGATAGCCATCTGACTGCTGTATTCTATACGATTAAACATATCTTCAAAACATATAATAAAATAAATCAATAGCGCTACAACCTTTTTAGGTCTGGGCCTCAGATTTGTATCCGTTTTATGATTTATCAATCTAATAGGCAAGGCAGCCCCCTGTGCTCGACACAGGCCTAAGGCAAGCTGGTCTAAGGAAAGCCGGTTTCCTCACGATGTTTTCCTACACTGTTCGAGCGAATGTTAAATGCGCACATAGACAGAAAGTCCGTTGGTGCACAGCCGGGGTTCGAACCTACGACCTCAGGGATGAGAGTCGCACGCTGAAGCCACTAGGGCAACACAGCTCTCTTTCATTCTTATAAATAATATTAAATACATACCTATATTTGTAATAGTCTGTGTTATTTCATACTACTTACGAATAAGTATTCTGATATTTCATACAAGTAGTATACTTCAGTAACGTTTTGTAGTTAGATTTTGTTATGAGAACCGAACAGACATTCTCGAATTAACAATAACAGTTAGCACTAAGTAAAAATTACTTTAACTCCCACGAAAAAACATTAAAGTCAAAGTATTAAACGACATTTTAATGAGAAAATATAACGTGTTTTTTTTATAAATCTAAATCTGGCAGGAGTACCATGGACACGCACAATACCAGGTCGCAAGTGCATTGACGGTCTAAAAGTACTTTTCTTGAAGGACAGAATACCCTTATCAAAGGAAATGTTAACCTAAATATATAAAACAAAGTCGTGTTAGTTACACCACTCAAGATCGGCTGGACCGATGTTAGTTATATCTTTGGTGGATTCTTCTCTGCTCCGAATAGCAGAATAAGTAATACAATATCGGATGAGTTACCGACAAAAAAAAAATTACGAATGCAAACAGCATGTGGTGCCATCATCAAAGAAACCTACCACTTGATCTTGCGCCGGATAACAAAACAAAAATCAGTATCAGAAAGTGCTTCAACATGCAGTATCGCAATATTGGCGTTAGAGAGAAGAGGCCTAATGTGTAAAACTGTCATTCTTTTTTCGCAATGGCAAGCAATAAACCATTATTTTCTGTATTTGCAAAAAAAGTTGTATTAATGTTATTACCTTAATGGAATCCTAAATTAAGTTTAACTAAACACGATATTATTAGACTGTTAGGTGGAACGAAGTTCGCCGGGTCGGCTGGTAAAATGTATTTGTAAGAAAATAACTTTTCTTTAAACTTACACAATGTATAGGCAGCGGCACGTAAGTCTAGCGCTGGCCGATGCGTGGAGGGGATTGCGCATGTGTACTGTCGCGCGGGGACTGGAGCGCCAATCGAAACTCTTCATTCCGCTAGCCCCCCTCAGGTACCTTAATTTTTACTTCTGCGCAATAACGGTCAGCGCTAGAGTTTCGTGCCGTTACTTGTATTGTTTACCTAAAATATTTACCTTAAATATCCATCATGTCTCGGTTCGCTATATGATGAAGCAGGTGACTTCCGCCGCATTCGCGCAAAATATGGTGCGTCGCTGGCTGCAGACGATATAGTGAAATAAAACCTTTTTTTAAATTGTATACGCTTATTTTAGTGGGTGCGTTTCCGGCCTTTGGCTCCTTCAATTTATTATTCCGTTTTTGTTTCGTATCTCCCTTGATGGACACATTAATTAAAAGCACATTCAAAGCACATATTCATTTTGAGTGCTTTTGAACAAATGTACAGATTATTATACTTTTCTTGGCCGGCGGGTGAAATTGCTACTACCGTCGTCATTTTGGTGCGTACAATAAATAATTTTACTATCTACCAACATCTAATAAAAATCCAACTAAAATGTATTTATTTTTATTCCTCGCATTATTAAATGGCAAAGTGTTAATTATCGAACGGTTCTGATTCCTAGGTATCTTAAAAGATGTTATATTAATAGTACAGGTTACAAAACCCATCATATCAGTAGTTCCTAAGTTTGTGTCATTTATTTAAGCCTAAAACTGTATTTTCTAGATACTAGTATACATTGTTTTATTAATACATTTCAATAAATTATTAAGTTAGCCTGCAGGACTTCAACAGGGGACTTCAAGGGAATACCTTAATGATTAATTTTTATTTACTGGCAATACTAATATCTATGACAGCGGCACCGGCCAAGAAAAGTGTGTGGCACTGTAGTCAACAAAAGACTGTATTCGAACTTGACAGTTCTGTGAGACCAACTTTGCAATAAAAGACCATTGTGGAACAAACTACTTCAAATGGCAACAATCTTTAATGTCTCGATTGTGTGGTCTAATTTATGGAATTTGTCAGGTTATTTAATTATAGCCGCACAAAAACATAAAAAAAGAAATAATACACAAACTAGAACCAATGTGCGGCTCATATAATAGGACAGCGCGCGTTAAAATGGCTAAACCTATTAAAAGCCAGTCAAAAAACTTTATTAACAATAGTGTAATGTGTCAAATGTCATTCCAATTTCCATGTGACTTAAACTTAGTGTTGCTATAATCATAGTTAGTTTGTCCCCAAAGTAGATTTATTATTTTATTGGTCGGGCTTTAAAATTATTTGGCCAAGGCTTAGAATTCGACGAGGAATTGTCATAAAATACTTGAACTTGATGTCATCCAAAATTTATTAACAGATTCACAAAAAAAAAGAAGGAAAATTATACTTTTATCTCTATTAAAATTCATCAAAAACTATACCTCCAGAGGAAACAGCTCTCCGTCGTATATGTAATGTCCTTGTCTCTTGGGGCTCACCTTCCGACTCGGACACAATTTTATCTTCTGTATTATCCCAAACCTATAATTAATTAAAACACCTTTTACCGTTTTGGCCAAACAATTATTAATTGAAAAGAAAATACGCATACATACATACGAAGAAGCTTAACCATAAACTACAAGCTCAAACTAATAATTTGATTATAATTTAAATACCGGTTAGAACACTTAAAAATTGCTTTTCTCGATTGCGATTGGTCAGCGGTCAGCCAATCACAGTCAAGAGACATGAACCGTTCTTTTTCAAAAGCTAAACTAACTTGCGCTCTATTCTAAATTCAAACGATAATATTTGTATGAATATATTTTGCTTAAAAGCTCTGTAATAATTGGTGGAACGTGGTGAAAGTAGTATTATTTTTAAACAGCTGCTGGAACACTTTTAAATATCGAATTGCGTTTCTTGATTGTGATTGGCCTGCGTCTCTACCAATCACAGTCAAGAGACACGACTCGTTCTTTTTTCAAAAGTTAAACTTTGCGCTCTTTTCTGAGTTCAAGCTTATTGCGCGAATAGTTTTACGCATAAGCCGTAATTTTTTTTTATGTAACAGGAGGCAAACATGCTGGAGGTTTTACTGATGTTAAGTGATACCGCCGCCTATGAATACTCACATTGCTAGAAGGCTCGCAAGTGCGTTGCTGGCCTTAAAGAACTCGTGGTAAAATGAATATAAACAATTATAATAATATACCGGTTCTTTGAGTTCCTCGTGCAACTGGTCCATGAAACATCTTAAAAATTCCTGAGTGTCATGTTGTTGGTAGCCACGGAACATTGGATGTACCTTTAATATACAAATGGTAAAGAAAAACTAAGAAATAACTGCCACGTCCATTCAAAAATCATTCCAACAGACTTTCAAATCAAAGATTAAGAGTTTCCAAGTTTTCAAATCTTCTAGGAATTATTTTTACAACTGACGCATTAAATTCAGTATTTATTAATTTTATGGAAAACAATTTACATTGCGGCTTAGTACGTTACAGTAAACGATTATACTAGGTCCCATATCTGTAAGCCCATTATATTTAAGTACTTCAAAATCCTGAGTAGGTTCCGATTTCTAAATCTTCCGGGAAAACTAAAATTCAATACCGTAGGAAAAAGAAAATAATAACAACTAGCAAATAATTAACACAGAAAGGTATTCTAAAACGACTCGGCTAAAGGTCTCCATTTAGGAAATGTTCGAAAAAGGCTGACCGAAAGATTGTACGTGGCTTGCCATCACGGTACCCCTATTTTTGCCGATGAGTAGGGATGTATGTCTAATAAGTGATATCTGTATCTTATATTCCATAATAAACATATTATTTAATTTTTCTATTTTGTTCCCCCAGTCATTTGTCGTGACAGTTTTATTATTCATTATACTTACATTTCGTATCCCATATAAAATACCATTTGGTACAACATAGCCTCTAGTTTTTCTACTCCACATTTCTTTAATTAATTTTTGGTATGCCCTGTAACAAACATATCTCATACAAAATTAAGAATGGCACGGTCCATTCCCATACAAATTTTACAAATCACATAAAAATTACGCTAGCTGAATTGGATTTTCAGTTTTTCCATTTGAGGTGCTAAAAACGTATAACAACTCTTAGCTACACTCTCAAATACATGCGCACACACACCCATTCACAAAACTCACACATTCACACATACTTAATGTCTTATAAGACTTGTCTTGACTGTTTTAAACAATGGTACATGTACATGTACCACGGAATAATTGTCATCTTAGTTACGCACAACACTTCCTAGTGTGAGGACTAGCGATAAATAAATTTTGTCACAACCTATTTGTCATTACACTGAAAAATGAAGAAAACCTTACTGAACTAACTCGTGCGTTAAAACAAATAAAATGGGATATCGTCGGCCTACACAATGGTACCCTAGGGAAGGCAAATGGAGTAGAGGAAGACCACAAAAACATGGGAAAATCAGACAAGTGGCAGGAGTGATGTGGAACAGTGGCCCAAGAAAGATATGAATGGAAAAGGTTGGGGAGGCCTTTGCCGACTGGCAAACAGATCTGCAGAAATCAAGCAAGATCCAAATATCAGAATAGTTTTTTTTTCAACCTTCTATTATCTAGTCTAGTGTTTACCTAAGTCGATCTGTATAAAAGGCAATATTATTATATTATTATATTTGTCATGAATAAACTTTTTATCATTAATTATTAATTAAATATCAATTGAAAAATAATGCAGTAACACTTAATAACACTAAAATACAGTACCCAGTGATATTGCATATCGGCTTATGGAAAGAGATAATCGGCCAACTTCGGCATTGTAGAGCGATATCTCTGTCACACAGTACTATGATGTTTTTGTCAAAAAATCTTGTCAAAACACAGGAAAACAGACGGATAAATAAAAACCAAAAGTAAACGGCAAGACAATATAAAACCACTCACCGACTTAACCCAGGTTTCTTATCAGCTGATAGAACAGCCACTGCCGCAGCACATTCGAGGAAATATGACGTCAAAGGCTGCGTATTACTTAAGGCCTGCAACGCTGCATTCATATAGCACGTATTGCCCATATTTTGAAGACCTACTAGACCTGGAAATATGTCGTAATTGTCAAATATTTAATGCCCAATAAATTCTTCATTGTATATAAGGGCACATTATTTTTTACAACTGTATGTTATTTTCCTTCACCGTACGAGCGAGTGTTAAATCCGCACGTAAGGGAGCGTTCAAGTATTTTATTTTTGGAGATTATTAACAACCCCCCCATATAACGCGCCGTAACGTTTTTCTGTACCCAAGTATAGTAAAACGTTTCGTGAACACCCAGTGACTCTTTATACCTAAAAGTTACCATTATGTGGTGTAAAGTACTGGAAAGTCGAAAATAATATTAAAAATAACGCGAAATTCAATCCCCGCCCCGCATCATAAAGTTTTACAAAAGGACCCCCTCCCCCCAAAATTCGTTACGTAATACTTGAATGCACGCTGACATTACTAGGCCACCACTGCTGTAACCGTCTGCTTACTATCCAATATAATTATAATAATACAGAGCTATAAAATCTACAGTATTTCTTTGACCTGATCTCCTACGCCTATAAAAAATGACAAACAAGGGGCCAAGACCCATAAACGAATGTAGCGATTAATGTACCTCTTGATCTTCCATCGTCATCATATTCTTCGTCTTCCAATTCCTCGTCGTTGACGCTGATACTGACAGAACCAAGCCGAGTGCTCACTGACATGTCTTCTATACTTGTTGAATGGGCACCCAACTGTTTTGTTAAAAAGCCTTTAAATTTTATATATAACTAGCTGACCCGGCAATCGTATGTTTTGCCATGTACAGTGTAAAGTAGTGTAATTGTAAAATAGTGTAATTCTTTATAACGAATTTCAAGGTAGCGAGCATTTTTATTCGTTATAGAGATATTTCGTTATAGGGAGGGAGAAACTATTGTATGGGTATTGGGTTAAACCAAATAAATTTAGCTCATTGCGTTATAGAGAATTTATCGTTATAGCAAATGACGTTATAAAGAGTTTACACTGTATATTATTTCTAGGAAACATTTTTTTAGTTCAATAAAAATAGCTATCTACAATAATAAAAAATAGGGGTTGATCGTTGAGGGGTGAAAATTAGGGATTGTATGTATTTTTGTATATATAAAAAAACAAAAATATTTGTGGTGGACACCCCCTTATCACTTAGGGATTTGAAAGATAGATAGTAGCCGATTCTCAGACTTACTAAATATGCATTATAAATTTCATAAGAACTGGTCGAACCGTTTCGGAGCCACGAACATTGTGACACGAGAATTTTATATATTAGATTATAATGCTCTATATACTCCAGAATGCGCTTTGGCGTTAACGAGTTTATATAAGAAACATTACATTGTATGGACAAGAAGAAGAAAGTCGAAGTCGAGTTACACTGAAGTTTTAGTAAGGAACAACGTACCATCCTTTTCTGGTTCCGGCCGTTTTCGACCTCCTATAACTAACTTACGGTAACGCTAACTTCTTTGTGGATAAAATTAGAAGCTTGAAGTCAATGTATTAAACAAAAAGGATTTGTAATATTGATTTGAACTACATGTTATTTGTTAGGTTAGCTAATTACGTAAAAACTTAAGATAGGTCCCTTACGTCGGAAATTAAACCGACTGGTATAAAATGGATCTTACGGAATTTGTTTTTTTACAAGTTTTGATGGCATTTTCTTTTGTGCACACACATCTTTACACCGTCTCAGACAGCTATCATTGTTTACAAAGAGACGTCTAATTGTAATGCATAGTATACATCGAGTGATAAATACATCATGAATGTTACACGAACATAAATGTATATGTAACGGTTCCGATACGCGAAATTTTGTCTCAATAGAGAATCTTTTAATCTTAGATATATTTCACGATTTCCACCTTGAAAACACTTCAAGAACAGAGCGTACCAATTCTTAAAAGGCCGGCAACGAACTTTTAAGCCATCTGGCAATGTGAGTGTCCGTGGGCGGTGGTATCGTGGTATCGGTCAAGGATTCGTCCTTTAAAAGTTAAGTAAAAAATGTTCAGGAAATCAAATTAATATGCGTCAAGGTTATACCGTTTTAGAAATCTACAGTTTATTAAACATAAAACGCGCTGCAAAAACAACAGTTATTAAAATGTAAATATATAATAACTCACTTTGGCATGCGCAAGGGCAGCGCCGATGTGCACCTCTTTTTCGCAAAGGTAACACCATATTCTCTCCGTTGATATATTCATATGAACACAATGAAGAGGATAGGTCTGGAATAGAATACCACATATTATTAATGTATATTTTATACGTACTAGCTGCCCCCGAGAACTTCGTTTCTCCTTAATGTGATTTTACTTAGCCTACCTTCTAAGTACATACCAACATGGAACCTAGAGACTGTTCGGTTTTCTGGAATGAAAACTTTTGAGGTTTTTCTGTGAATTTTTCTCTATATTAACCTCAGAGTTCAAGTCATAAGATTTTAATTTACAAATAAATAATACGGGTTGATCGTAAATGCCAGTAAAAACATAATTGTTGCAAGTTAAATTGCAAAAGTTCCTTAAATATATGTGTTAATTAATCAAATATTAGTTTAGGTCAGTCACAATCACGCGTAATACATACATAATGACCTCCGCTTGAGTCCCAAAGGGCTTCTTATCAACAGTAATAAATAACTTTATATGTGAACAATCTGCATTAACACATTTAAAATCGTACAACTAAAGCTTTTACAACAATATTAAAATATTATATAAGTAGAAATAAATTGGCATCAGAATTGCTGAAAACAAAAGATGTCTATTGTTTAACTGCAGAAGTGTTAATTTACATTTAAAGTCCTTTAGACACATTACTTCCTTAAAACTGTATAGGAAACATATAGATCTCTGTTTAGGAAACATTTTTTTTATAATAGCAATAACATGAACAAATCTGTTATATTATATTAAACAAAAGTGTAAAGCCAAGCCAAACAAGCTGTCCTTTAGACTTTACGTTAATAAAATTTATTGTCATTTATAGTAGCTTTTATGAGTCATGTTTTATTATCATTGAACAAAGACACACATTGCTTTATTCATTTTATAAACCACCAAAACGGATCTCTATTTTTTAATTTATTAGTAATTTTAATAAACTGCTACAAAGGTAAACTTTTAAAAGTTTAATTCTTGTGTTTAACCAATCATCCCTTACACATAAATATCATTATGACTGTCATTCAGACACATATATATTTTTATTATTCATAAAAAATATATGTGTCTGCCCTAAGACTTATTATGAATGTTAGCAATTGCATAACAATTTTTTTTAAGTAAGATACTATATTTTTAGACAACATTCAACAAATTTTAAGCCAGTCTGTCTAGGAAATGTGTTTAAAGCTGTTAAAAGAAATATTCCAGTTTTTGTTAAAATTATTACCAGTTTTTGAGTTATTGCTACCTGCTCATACTTTTTATTATAAATTTTTAATTACCTTTTGGTGTGTAGTACTATGGTCATTTTTAACTTCTGAGCATCCAATATGCCGGCAATCAGTTTGAAGACAGATCCAAAGATTTGGCCCTGAGCATCCACAGTCAAAGCAAGTCAGAGACTGGAAATAAAAACATTAAAATTAAAATTAATCAAATCGAAAAAAAAATTGTTTATCAGACTTTAAATTTTATTCTCTTACATAGCAGCTCTTTGAAATCATAAATTAAATATAAGAATATAAATAGGAATGTAATTAAAATTAATTGCAACTTATATTATTAAAATTGAAATTAATGCATATGTCTACAAGTAATGGATTATCGCCGACACAATATAAAGCTAATTTTTTGAATAAAATACGTATGTTGTATATTTATTTCAAAGTGGACGAAGATTTTAAATACATTATAATATGTTTGTATGATTGTAAACAATGACTTGTCTTTGTGTTGTGTTACCATTGTAATGTTTAGACGGTAACAGTGCTCATTGCATAAGCCAAACATAGGTAAAGAATGCTAATTATCAATTTTATGTCATTTGAGGTTAGGCAAAAGTAAAATCAATTAAATCTCACCTCCTTTGACTGCCAAAGTTCTTGGTCTAAAACATCAGCGAGCTTATTAAGATGCTCACACGTTACGCCTTTATCCATTTTTATGATATAACCACTTGTAGCTGATAAAATACATGAATTTAAACTCTAGTAAGTCTAATCACAACAGTCAAGTAAATAAACATGACCTATATTAGGGTAGCTGTTAAATTTGTGTACAAAACAATGAAATTATCTAACACGAAAAAATTTACGACAGTCATTTCGAAAACACTATTAATTAAATTAATAATTATTAGTGAATATTTTCTTGAACAACAAAAAAACGTCTAACCAGTGACCAGCGAAAAGTCAAGCAGTAATGGCAATTGACATACCTAACTATATTTATAATCTGTTTATTTTTTAAATAAATCTGAGGATGTTCTAATATCTGTAGTATCTAAATCTTTTGTCACTAAGAACAAAAACTTAATAGAAACGTAATAAGATAACAAACTAGGGATGTGACATTCTGCATAAATTTTTTTTTATTAATCGATTATTTTTGTAGCATGAAAAAATCGATTAATAAATAATCGATTTTTTAAAAAAAATAATCGATTTTTTTTTATTAATAGATTTTTTCCTCATTTTTGAATTAATTTCAAAATAACCACCCTTAATATTTTATTTTTCATGTTTTTTTTTAATTAAAAATAAACAATAGAAATTATAAACACAAATTAACGTTTAAGAATATTCAAATTCGAAATTAACTTAATCTCGTTTTGATAGATTTTAGGTGAAATTTGATAAATGCTGAGTGTATGCCTTTTCAGTAGCACATTGCAGTATTTTTGTTGTCTTTTTAATTGTATGTAGTCTTGTGCTGCTGAATAAATTAATTATTTTACTTTTAAATTATAGTGTTCCATTCAAACTTGAGTTTTTGTAAAATTAACTGGTTTTATCATCTGTTTATGATTTTTTTCTAAAACATTTACAACACAAATGGTAGGTATGTGATAGAGACTGTGGAAAATTCCATTCCATTCACCCATACCAATTAGTCATAATATATTGAAAAAAATAAGTGAAATGCTCTGTATATACCTTTTTTTAAAGTTTTCTTTTCAATTTTGATGTTAAAATACTGATGAAATATAGTATTTCTTGTCTGTGTACACTCTTTTCTACAGAGCAGAAAATACAAAATTTGTATTTTCAAATGTTCATAATATTAACAGCTTGACATTTAGTAGTTGGCACTTGGCAGTAACAAACTGCAGAAACTGAAAACAACAATAAATTACTTTAAATTTGTTGTGATGTATTTTTGTTTTGGGTAACTCTGCTTGAATTCAATCTTCAAAATTATCAATCATCCTCACTGTGTGAAGACTTAGAACGTGACATTGGCGGAATTGTGATTTACACAGATGTCGCCATTTAATGTGAGTAAATACTTTAAATTTGAGTTCTAACTTCTAACACAATATTTTCAAACTACAAATTTAGTAGAATTTCGTATGAAAAATTAAACAACTATTAGTTATTTAATAAATATTCATCAATAACAACACAATTATCGATACAAATAGTAAATATTGTACAATAAATCACTAAGTTGTGGTATTATTAAGGTGTTATGACTTATGTATTCCATTCTGTAATGATTACTTACGTTTTTTCAGAAGCTATCTTAATCTTCACTCTCTCTTAATTAATTTGCAAATATGACATCGGCATCGTCAAGCAGCGCCCGATCTCTGTTCGCGGAATCTAAACAAAGACTTGCAGAGAGAGTTCAAGTTAATATGAACAATATAGCATCACTAGCGAGGCAGATCCAACGAGGTTCTAAATCTAATGAGGCAAGACACTCTCTTATATTTTTCTTAAGCTTTTCTCTAAATTTATCCATATTTTTATTAAGGATTATTGCTTTATGATTGTGAAAAAATGTCTTTAATATTTAGGGTAAATAGAATGACTCACAGAACACAAGCCCTCACCACAGTATTACTTGAATAAAACTTAGTTAATATGTAATGTGAATTTATTATACAGGTGGTCACTTTCAATATTTTATTTAAATCTTTGTGATACTCTCTTTAACTAAATACTCCTTCATTTATCAGTCAGATTTCTTCTTGATTTGTAATCTGCATAAGCACAATAAAAAAACAATCTGTCATCTCTATGACTTAAATTCTTTAAATTAGTATAGTATTATTTTCTAGCTCCTTATGAAAGCAGCAAGGGATACAGCATGTACAGAACCATTAATGGAGAGCACAGAACAGAATTTAAAGAAAATGCAACTGATCTCAGTGCATATGGGTTACCAGTTTGAAAGCATACAGAAGTCAGCAGAAATGATTACAGAAATTAATGAACAAGTTGCTAGCTTACATAGATAAATATTTCTACCTGTATGTTATGTATCATTCTACTTAAAATGGGACAGGCACAGTGTTTTGTTTATTTCAATAATTGTTTTGGAGGAAAATTATCAGAGGATCTTTATCCAAACAGCTAAGTTCCATATGCTATGGATATGCATATGTGTTACCACACTAGCTATGCGCATGAGAAGTCTAAGATAACTATATATTAAAATTTGATTAAAGCTAAGTATTTATAAATATATTTTGTTATGTTTATGCTCAAGGCATATTTATGTCAATCAATATTAAATGTGTCATTTAATAAATATGATCTCATAATACGTAATTATTTTAATATGCACATATAATTTATTCGCATAATTATTTGTATTGAAGTAATATTAATATCTTTCATTAAAAATTATATATACATATAAATTTGGAGAATTTCGAGTTTAATAAATAAGTCTATACAAAATACTGTATAAACAATGCAAAAAGTAAATTCCATTTCCATAGAATTATTTCGTATTACGGATTTTTATATATATAAATAAAGAATATAATAAAACCTTTATAAATATATTTTATTGTTGTTTAATTTTTATTAACCAAGAATGATGTATTGCAAATACTTGTATTGCATTTGCTATGAATCTTTTCGCAGGCGCAGTTTTAACGAAGTTACGTACTGGACAACCCATCCTATGTAGTTTTAGGAAAATATATAGGATACTTTTGCCTTAACTCAGTATATATAAATACGTGATTTACGTAGTCCTATGTAATATGCTACCATCATTAATATAGCAATAATACATTATGTTCACGCCGACCGCCTCGCAGTGATTACATCTATAAAGCTATTCTTTATCTAAGACCTACCTAGTGACATTAGGCTGTTGCAAAAATGTCTGTATAATAGAAACTGTGGTATTGCGAATCTGTGCCTAAATAGATTTACATGAAATATTGTTTTGAGTTATGAAATAGTTCAAGGTACGATTTCATGGAATTCGTCTCAGTCTGTTTACGCAAAAAATCAATATTAATATAGCTAGATAGTTTTGCATTCTTTTTAATACTATTAAACTATCTTTATTCGTATTTATTATTTTGATGATCGCTTTTATTGTTAAACTAATAATTCTATTAGTTTCTTCGTCTAAATATTTTGTCAAAAACCAAAGAGTTTGCCGAACATTTACAAAATCGGTCCCAAAAATAATATTAATTAATGTACTGAAACCCAGACAAGATTTAATTCAGTGGAAGTCGGTTTAGTTTTTGTGGTTGAGGTCAATTGTGCGTAACCTAGGTATTATGCCGGCCATACACGCTACGGTCTACCGGAGAGGTCCACCTGTGCAGGTATGCCTGCGCAGGTAGACCGGAATGTGTGTGGGAATAGACCTGTGCAGGTTTTTGAACCTGCACAGGTCTACCTGCGACCACCGGCGCAAGATCGAAAATCGATTCTTTCTAGTGACACCGTACGGTGTACCTGTGCGTGTGTGCGGGTACTCCGGTCGCCTGCGCAGGTTGTTAAGATAGTAATCGGCAATGTATCTACATTTATTACTTATGTTTTAAGTTTGATTTGTTATTTAACTGTGTCTTCTTTTTTTATTATATCAGTAACCATTTCAAGTAATTTAATGTATGTTTTCTCGTCCATTCGAAAATAGTTTTTAAAATCTTCTGGTTCAAATTTCAATTCATTTAATAAATTAACATGACTATATGTTATCCTTGTCAATAACCAATGCTTACACCACTTTCTTCGCTTGTTTTTCGTATCATTTTTCTTCAAAATTATAACAAGACCTAGCAACGCCAGCGTGTCATCGTCCACATTCGATGCCATCGCAAAGAGAACTGAAGACCGCTCCGATACACCGGAACGTCCCCATACACGCTACCTTTGTTCGGTTGACCTGCGCAGGCATACCTGCACAGATTACCTCTCCGGTAGACCGTATGGCCGTGTATGGCCGGCATTACAGTGCCAAATAGTTTTTTTTATAAACTATTAATTTAGAAAATTTAAACATAAATTTTTAATAGTAGACAAAGTAATAAAACAACCATTCGGTTTTTAATCAGTTTAAAGAGAGTTTGTCTCCAGAAAACCTTGATAAATTTTCCATGGAAAACTTGAGCTTGGGGATTTTACTAAAACTAAATGGAATGAATCCAATTGTTCGAAATACATAATTTTAGTTCAATAAATTTTAACTAAAATTATGTATCAAAAATATTATAAAAGGGTGATCAAAAATATTGTTTGATTGATTACTAAGTTTCACTCGGATTATTTTACACGCATTTTTATTTTAATTTATACCTTTTTGTTAATTATATTTGTTAATAGTTACGTCCTCAATTTATATGTTTGTATTATCTATTGTAAGGCAAGATATCAGTAGGTAATCAGTCTAACCTCTCTTATGGTTCCCAAACTAATATAATTTCTCCATATCCTTACGACTGACAAATGTGTGCCTTTCTTCTTGGTAAGGATATATCGAAAATGGACTCAGGACTTATTATTTTAGTAAAAAATTGTGTATCGACGGCCACAGAACCGAACCTTGTGGTACACCAATATTCGTATACTAATTACTGTACCAATTAACCTCTATATTTTGTCATATTTATGTTAGGCTCACACAATACTGATATTTATCGTAAAGTCCTTTTACGACCAACAAAATATATTCATTTTAAACCAGTATTAGTTATTACTATTAAATAATGTATAATTATATATTATATTACGTTTAGTGCCTACAAAAGGTTAATAGCAATGCTTTATATTTGACCTTTTCACTTATTATTGTGCAATGTTCAGAACCTTGCACTAAAATATGAAGTATGCTATCGTAATCTATTTTATAGGCTACTCTATTATATTAAACGAGCAAACACAGTAATTATGGGAGCCACTTAACGTCGAAGCAAATATGTGTAAGAAGACAAAAATATGATTGTTTTACTGATAATACACCGCCTAGATAGTATGGGTCACTCTGGTGACAACTTACAGCTGTCGTTTCAGCCTGTTGACGTCCAGTGCTGGACATAGGCCTCTCCCTTAAGTTTCTAGCACGACCTGATTCCCGCGCTTCGCTTCGCTCCACCCTCCCCAGGGCATCTGTCCACCTAGAGGGACGCTGTCCTATACATCGCCGATTAGTCTCAGTTTTTATTCCAAGACTTTTTGTCCCCATCGGCCATACGTTCTTTGGGCTTATACGCCCTTTTTCATATGTCAGTGACTTCAGTTCTAGTGCGGATCTCTTCATTTCTAATCGCGTAAAGAAACAACGAGCATAGCCCTCTCCAAAGCTTGTGTATCAGGCTTGAAGTAAGCAAGTCTCAGAGCCGTAAGTGAACTCTGGTAGAACGAAGAATTTTGACTTTAAGCTTTGAGGAAGCAAAATCGCTGAAAAGACACTCCTCTGATCTCCGTCTCGAAGTTAAGAACTTTACCGTAGATGCAAGAGTTACAAGTAAAAAAAACAAGGTATTGTTGCATGCTTTAGCCACTATAACACTTTATATAATAAAAGCTTTCAATAAAATATATAGATTTTATTTTCTAAACGATTCAGCCTAGCCATTACGATCCCTCTTCAGATTTGTGTAAATAACGAATGTTCTGTATCTATTTCGATTAATTTAAATAAAGTAACGCTTACTTCCAGTAATTATGAATATTACGCTTAAAAGTTGCGTTGTAAAACTTTATACGGTTATTCACAACTATACAAATAACTAAGCATTACACGACTTGGCAAGAAAACTATTATCTACATTGTATTCAGTTCTGTTACTTTATTATATTATGTAAAGTAGTTATACACATATATACTACGAAATGATACGTAGACTAAACTATTGACGAGACCGTATTTAACGAAGAGCGGTTCGAATCGTTGACGAAAATCCCTTTAAGAGCGGCTTGATCCCTTGGCGTTGCGTAGAGATGTGGGGTCACCCTGCATCTTCTACAGCATTTACCATGGAGAGTGTTCAGAGGAGTTGTTCGGATTAATACCTTAAGCTGAGTTTCATTATCGGACGTCGACGCAGTATACGATATTCCACCCGTATCACCTCGATGCCCGTCTTTCAGCCGCACCACCACTATGTGCCAGTTGCCCACTGAAGTATTTCCGAACCAATTTGACTTCGGGTCCTTCAAGAAAAGAGCGTACCATTACTTAAAATGCCGGCAAAGCACTCGCGAGCCCTCTGGCATTGAGTTTCCATTCGCGGCGGTATCACTTATAATCATCAAAAAAAACAATTGTAACAGTGTTCGTGTACGATGTTTTTCTATGTAAATGCATGGTAACCAAAATTAACAAGCCACTTTCTTTAGAGTATGTTTAATAATAAGACAGCAAATAATTTTTATTAAAGAACTCGTATGTTTTGTAACATAGCTAATATATTTTTAACACTATTTCCGCCAAATTGTGGAAGCATCCTATTTTAAGTCGTGCCTACCGTGCCATTGTATCAGTTTGCCCGCTCTACTTAATGCACTTTCGTTTTTTTTCGCGACATCCATTATTATTGTATTGAGAACGAGGTTATGCAACCTCACCGCCTTTGGAGTTTTGATATAATTTTCGCTGCTTTGTGTCTCATACAATCCTATTTTGCCGCCAATTCTGACAGTTGACATAATCGCGTTCTTATTTGTTTGTGGTACAAAGTTCATTTTCGTCCAAGAAGGTTCTAGTGAGCGGTGGAAAGAATTGTCTTTTGATATGATCGTGACTACAGAAGCGCTGGTTCTCTTGTTACGCAAGATAAAGTTATAATTATCTGCGTTGAAAGCGCAAAATTAGTGAGTACTTAGTACAAATGGAGTGCTAGTCTCTTCTCACGACTTTGTTTCGTATTGCGATGGTTTTAGGTCACCAATAAGACTACTGAACTAATTTAATAACCCTTTTAAAGTTTATTGAACACGACAAAACCTAATTTCGATGTAGTTCTCGCAATATTCGGGTCAA